TGTAACCATTTGGTTTAAATCACTGGTAGATGTCACTGCTGTTTCCACAGCTGCTTGTATGTCTTTCCAATCAACATCGGGTTAGCCTCGTTTTCAGAACTACCTAAGTGTGACCTCAGTTGTTCCTGGAACCTACTTTTGGTTTTCTCATTACTCAATTCGGTTCTAATGAGTCTTTTTTGTGTGGCTCTTTTGCGTCCAGTGAGGCGCAAGCAGATGCGTGCTCGTATTAGGGCATGGTCGAACTCAAGACAGGTACTCCAGAATGAGCGACAATCTTCTATCGACCCTCTCCAACGATGACTGATGGCAATATGGTCTATTTGAGTCCATCGTTGGTTTGATGCAAGGGGTCGCCATGTTAGACGATGTCTCTCCTTATGCTTAAAATTTGTGTTTGCTAAAAATAAACGATTGTCTGAGCACAGTTGCAGCAGACGATCACCATTATCTGTTCTCTGTGCCGGAATACCAAAATACCCACCCAAATGTACTTCTGTTTCGTTTAAGCTACCTACATGGGCATTAAAGTCGCCTGCTACGAGTACTATGCTTGAACGTTTAGCTTTCTGAAGAAGTTCAGAGAGTTTTCTGTAAAATTCATCTTTCACTTCATCCGAACTGCAGTCAGTGGGAGCGTAGGCAGAAACGACGAAAAGGCAACGACGTGTGTCCCTATCCTTTCGAGTTCTTACGGAGCCGTTTAGCCGAACAGCGCATAGACGACTATTAACGGGGATCCACTCTAATAGCGCTTGTTCCGCCCTCATACTTAGTGCTATGCCTACACCTGCAAGTCCACGAGAACTAGCCATCGGGTTGCCAGATACACGGAGGGTGTATCTCGTTGGCTCTCCGTTTTGCCGAGGTGAGGTCAAGTGAATGACCACACTAGGATCCTGTATGCGTGTTTCGGAGACACAGCATACATCAATGGTACGAGATTCTAAGGTTTTAGCCAAGGAAGCCTGCTGACCGATTTGGCATAGTGTGCGTACGTTGAAGGCTCCAATGTGCAGTTTGGAGCGGGGTTTCAGTAGACCTGGGACAGTGTTTTGCGCACTAGAATCGTTGGCTGTGGTGACACTTGAGGAGGAAGCTAAAAGAGGAAGTTTAGTGTATAAAATCGATGTAGGAGGAATAATAGGAATTGAAGAGGGAGGTTGATTATGAATACAGTGGTCTTGAGTGCTGTTAGGGGTATGAGGGCGGTTATCACTTCCCGGTTGCCCACACCGTGGAAGGGTTCTTCTGGAGGTACCTGAAAAGGAAATTGGATTAGAGTTGGTCATAGTGACCTGAGAGCGTGACCGCAGTGCCCAAGGGACAGCTGTTTGAGGTCGGTCACACACGACCTTTTTATGAGTGATTTTTGTGTTAGCTCCGTACTTGTTGAGACCTTACCGTCGGAGACGGATATCCGTGGGATAAGGCGAGGTGTGCATTTTTAGAGTCGACCTTTTCTAACCCCACCCCTCCGTTTGGGAAGGCAGCATCGCTGTTATGCTGGTTGTCTGAAGGAAACACCTTACTGCTGTCACACCTCTGTACAGTCAGCAGTACGACTTCGCCTTCGGACCTGTCTGGCACGGTAGGACCTTGAGGAACGGTTGTTCCAGCCAGTATAGCTCAGTTGCTTCATCACGATAGGCAAGCCCGACCACCACGTCAAGGTAGCAACAACGGTCAGGTATTATATAAATTAGTTTTAAGGCAATTCAATAAATGTACACACTGTACTACTTATGATGATATTTAGTAAATATTTTCCATAATACATCATACTGAGTCAACTGAATATATATCGTGGCCTTTAAAAGCTCATCTCCCCAAGGTAAGACCTCCATTACATTTAATTCTCACTGTGATTTGATTCACTACCATAATCTGCAACGTCACATGAGGAATAACATGCATCTCACCTCAGTGAGAAACTATGTTGCCCTGAGGTGTTAATTGTGTTGTTAATCGCTTTGATTTATTTATTCATGCAACAAAATATGCTTAGTAGACCGACACTTCCGAAATGAATATAAAGTGGAATGTATTTACTTATCGTAAATAATATCTATTTTTTCAGAGCCCATTATTTAAAACTAACTTTTTAATTTTAAAATATCTTGACAGTTATTTGAATCAATGGAAACTAGCTTCATACGTCTTCAGGTTTCTTCAGAAGGGCTTTTCGAATCTAAAACAAATACAGCCTATGGAAAATTGCAAAAAGGAATATATGACCACTCCAGTATTGTATTTTTACTAGTCAAAGATAATACTGAGACTTTAAAGGTAAGTGAACATTATTTCTTTGACAAGGAAAAACTTGAGCAAATATTATTAAGGACTGTTGTCAAAGAAGCTTAATAAAAGCTATCTGTGTGATGATATGTTGTGGTGAACTGGATGGATCTATGTACATTGTAGGTTCTACATTGCTTATGATTGACAAAATATCTAGTATTTAAAGCCACTTAGCACAAATATAAAGGAATGAATCAAATGTTCTTTTATTCGTATCTGCTTAATATCTATGGTTATGAATAAAGGAAGTAGAATCGAGTATTAAACTGAAGTCGTAACTTCGTTCTCGAAACAAACACTTAATTTATATGACATGACAATTTCTATACTAACATTTATTTCTACCAGTAAATTCAAGCAAGTTACTCGCCTACTGTCAAATGACCGATTTGAATTTTATTAATTACCTAAGCAGTTAATAGTCAGTAGTCGAATACATTTTAACAAGTATGTCTACGCGTAAATGTCTCCATGTAAAAGTACATATTCAGGTATCATGTCTAGATTCACCAGTAGTTAACTGAATGGAATTATTCATTTGTCATAGTAATAATAGCTTGGTTAATTTAGATGAGTAGGGTAGAATTTTCTGTCATAATGATCTATAAAAAAGTATAAACAGAAATACGATTCAATTTTTTTTTTAAAAGAGAGAAGTTTGATCAGGGATTTCAAAACAGATATGTCCAGCTTAAGTGCTTAACAATAATGTAATGATGAGCAACTTTGATTTCCTATAAGCTGAGTTAACGTGAACTTGGTTATGTATGTACCATATTTGCGAAGTAATAACGAAAATATTCAAATAAAATTAAGTCAAACGGTTTCATAATAATTTAACATATATACAATAAATTATTACATAATTTTGAAACTTGAGCAATTAAACGATAGTATTTTAAATTTATATTAAGATTGAAGCTTTCACAGTATTATTGATGGTTAAAGGTCATTTCTAAAATTCTTTAAACTACAATCGCACATAGTAATTTATACTTATCTAAAACCTAAAAAAAATATCACCAAATGTTTGTTAAAGTAAAGACTTTTTATACTAATGAAAAGTAATGTTAAATTCAATATGGCAATAATTATGTATGCGGAAAGGAAAATTGATTGAATTCATTATAAAATACTTTACGACATTTCGAGATGTTTACAAACATTATACATCTCCTTTATTTGTACGAACACACTCAATTAGTTATTATGTAACATAACATAATACGCAAATGTCATTTTCATAATAAAAACTATTAGATATATTTTGATATATTTCGGAGTATTAAAATAAGTTAATAATTTCAAATTTTTATGAACAGTTTATTGTTGGAAATCGTTTATTTCACGAACAGATATCAACACCGAAAGCTAGTAATTTAAGGATCACTGTTTTGGTTGATTTTGCGAATCTGTACCAGTGATCTATAACCTCTCTAAAGATTAAAACCATGATAACCCATTGCATAAGAACAAATAAACTGATGAATCTATATAGGTGTTTGCCAAAGTTTGATTAATGAAGTAACATTCTCTCATATTATCAGTGAGAATTATGTGTAAAAACAACTGTAAACACGTTGGTTAAAATGATTTGTTCACTAATCTAATTTTAAAGTGCTTAATGGCGTAATTCGATTCTTTTGTCCATTAATGGATAATGCAAAACTATTGGTGAAGGTCGAATAAATTGAACAAAACGTTCATATTAGTAATATTTAAACAAGAGACGACTGTTATGTTTTTGCAATCACGTCAAATTGAATGTTGCATGAAAATAAATGGCATTATCAGGATCTATTGCCTAATAGATGTTTAAAATCAATTGATGTTAATCCGGAGTGTTCAAAATGAAATTAAAGTATTCGTAAAACTACACGATTGTTTAGCTAATGTTTTTTTAGAAAGAATATATACAATGATAAACTTTTATCTTTATTGCTGACAAAAAAGATTTGTCTTTTTATTCCAGTTGAGCAATTAGGGAAAATAATGGGTACTCACAAAGAATATTAATAACTCGTATATTCATCAATTCAAAATACATTCAATATGGCTCAATAAACTTTTGGAGTTTCCACTCTATTTGTATAATACAAACTTAACCTATGAAAATAACCACTTTTCTGCTTTTATTAATCAATCAATACAATCGAAGTTAGAACAATTTACTCTCATTCTTTCCTAATAAAAAAGAAGTTAGTAACAATAATAATGAATTAATGAAGCAGCTGACTTAAAAAAATTGATAGGTCGATCACGGGATAAAGTAGAATGAAAAGATTAAACTGTTTACAATTCTTCTTTCTTTGTTTGTTTGTGTTTTTACAATTTCTTGCTTTTTCAATTAAGTGTAATTTAATTTTTTTAATTTTAATTCATCAGATTTAAATTGCAATTAAGTTTAGATTAATTAGAATAAACTGAATCAAATTGCAAGCTGAAATTGATTATTTCATTTTATTTATAAAGAAGAGATTAATTCATTTAAAAGTTATTGGCTAATTAATTATAATAGAAACTGTTTTCTGATTGGTTATTCTACAATTTTTTGAAATTAATAGAGAATAGGAAGAATAGATCACACTGTTTCTTCAATTGTATATATGTAGTTTGGTGAGCTTGAATTTCTGTTTAATTAAACATGTCCTAATTTATCTCAACAACAAAAAGAGAATTAAAAATAAGGAGCTATTACATTATATTCAGTTATTATTTCTCATTGTATGAATAAGTTGTTAAATGAAAATCCTTCAAAACAATTCACCAGTTTATTTGAATCACGTCCATACAATTGCTATCCATCTTGCTAATATTCCTGAATATAATCAATCATATTTGACTTTCTCGGGGAAAAAACACTTATTAACATTTTCATTTGTCTAAAATATATATTAGGTGACGTTTGACTTAGTCTTATGGTCGGGTGGTGTAGAGAACAATTAAGGGTAATAAAGGAACAACTGTCTTACCTTTTAATTGTTAACAGCAACATTATGTGGCTGCCTGATAAATGGTCACTGACCCAGATCATCTAATGTTTCCTAAATTGCATAAATCTAGTTGAAGTTCAAATTCCTGTTACTTAGAATACTGTTTATGCATCGTTATTAAGGCATTATTGGTAAATTCTTATAACATATGAGTTCATCAGTTAATTGTGATTTTCAACATGATACATAAGAACTGCTTGTCATGGTTTAGAATTTCCACTGTTTCATTTTTATCAAAGAAAAACTCTTTGGAAATGCTTTGTCCGTATCAGCAAATTAACAACTTACTGAGTAAAAATAAGATTATATTTATGAATCTTCCAGTAGTTCTCTCGTTTTGTCTACCAGTCTGGGTCGTGACTGATTACAACCAGTGGGATATTTACTAATCGCAAAGCTTTTTAGAGACTGTTTCAAGTATCTTTGACATTTTCAAGTTACAATTAGCTAAAAAACAATGAATCGTATCAATTGTAGGAAGTTCATATTTTTCACATTCCCCAATCGCTCTCTGATGTAATAATAAATACCAAACAGATAACAATATGATAAAAACACCAAATAGTATACATGGGTGTTTGTTGATTCATCAATTTAATAAGTTATCGAAAATGCCAGTATAACCTACTACTTTTACTGGGCAATGATCAGTGTTATCATTGAATTTGTTTCAGTTATAGTGATTTATTTATTTCTCAAATGTCCATTTTGCCCCTCTTTAATTTTAAATCATTGCTTCATTTGAATAACAGATCAAACAAAATGTTCAAATTGTAGTTAACAAAAAGACTATTGCATTCAGATCACTTGTTACTAACAATTGGAATAATGAAAACACTGTAACCATGTCATCAAGTATTAGTAAAAACCCTTGGTCCATAAGAAATACTCATGCCAAGAAGGTGTGTTATGTCATCAAATATAATATCAATCTAGTTTCCTTCTTTATAATTGAACTGAGTCGTTTGTTAACAGGATAAATTGGTGGTTTTGCATGTTTTAATGTCTAATAAAGAATCTTTGTATTATTTCTAGTTATGGAAAAATAATCTACTTAGACTAGTATTTACTCATTATCCAACACGTATTGATTTGGCACCACTGGAATTGCTGTGGAAACAGTAAGTTACCTAATTTATTTCCGAGTAAACATTTCAGTCATGAGCGATTCTGAATTCATGCAGGCCACAATACCTTTTACTCTAGTCTGCGAAAAGGTGTCTGTAATAATTATAAAATCTCTTCAAAGTAATTCACTAAAACTAAAGTGAAGTCTTATTCAAAGATTTAAATTTTCCCGTTACTAAAATTAGAAATTTCAAGTGGTTAGTCATATTGGAATGTGTAACTCAAGGAAATATGGAAGCAATCAATTCAAAATGTAAATATGTCACTAAATACTGATCATTTTGAGTCTTCAATATGAACGGCAGTAAAATTCCAACAATTGCAAAAAGAACTTTATTCATTTTGAACGGATTAGTGACTATCTGAACTCAACAGCTTAGTGGATAATTAGGTGACATTTGGAGTGATAAATAATAAGCTTGAACCTCAATTTGAATATTAACACTGGTATTCAGTTCATGCATCTGATGCTAACAAACTGTAATAAAACTCGTAGATTTTGTGCTTGGAAAAATTGGTTCTAATTTTTTGTTATCAAGATCAAAAACAAAAACTTAGTGTTTGATAACTAAAACAGTAAGAAGTACTTTAATTTTAACCGCTCCTGACTAAGTAGACTAATAACTAATTGAGTTGACTACATTTTCCATGAAATCATCTTAAACATTTCTTGTTTAGTTGAATGGTTTGTGTAGATTAGTTTCACGTGAAGATAGTGAAATCAACTGTAGAACTATTCAAAACTAAGAGAACTGAACAACTCCATGTATGGCTACTTCTCGCCAGTGTGTCAGATCAATCTTGTAGCCTCGTTGTCTAACAACTTCATTATTAAATGTCTGATAAATCTAGAGCACTGGATCATAGTATAGATAGAGAAATAAAAAGACGTTCAGTCTTAACTAGTTTCCGTACTCCGTCACCTGATATCAGCCTGTAATAATGTTTACTTTTAATACATATGGAATGATATGAAATACAGCCAGCTTAGTTAATACATTTGTAAAACAAGTCTTTAAACAAATAATTATCGTCACTTTTTGATAATAAAAGCATTTCACACCTAATTGTAAATTTTTGACAAATTTTAGAGGGATTTAGTCCTTGAATTTTATCGATTTCTCTGGATAAACTTTTCCATTAAATAACATTCAATGATCTTGATTCTTCAGTGTGTTTTAATTAACTCTTTTAAGCACTCCCAAACAAATTAACAGATTTTTTAAAACATGGCGTTGTTTAATTCCAGTTATTGTGCAGTAAACACATATTTTCCAGTGAATAGTTTTCATTGAGAAACCGTCATTCAATAATCGCTGAACAAATTATAACTCATTTTGATAAGAATCTCCAATTATTTGATAGAATACTGTGACTAATAGACTTCGACCAGGTCAAGAATAAGATGGGTATGATTGAAATCGGTGAATAGTGATTATACAAATCACAAGTTGATTGAAGTTTCAAATGTGAATAATTGTATTTCAACTCACGAGCTTCTTGTAGAGCTTCAAGCTATTAAATTCGATCCCAGGACTAGACAGACATATCTATCCATCGTTACTCGGTCAGCAAAGATTGGTTAGCGCAAATCAGTCTGTGATGCCAAACTATAAATTTAAAGAACTAATTTCTCAGCTAACCAATCAATAAAATTAACTTATTCTTCAGTGTTGTACTAATTTGTATTATCTTACAGTACGTTTTCGTTTTCAACCTCTCTTTCCTTCAAACCATTATTGACTAAAATTTCGAGTTCAGCAGATAAAAACTGTAGAATATAATTTCCATCAAATTTTAGTTATCCAATCTAAACTGTGCATCTGCGTGCAACAATTATATCTATTTGCTTATATGTGATAATACATTTTCTTAGATGGACACATCTAATTATTGTTTATTCGAATTTGTCAATATGGAGAAAAACAGAGCAGTTACTTCACGATAGAAAATCTACCATACCAAATTGTTGTATTCTAGCAGCATTTGGATTAGAAGGAAATTTATTGCCAAGTCATAAAAGTTATCTGTCTGAATGTTCACCAATTTTTACAGACAATGACAATATAGACTATAGTAGTAGCGATGCTAACGTAAGTCATTTATGTCTAGTTTTCATTTACATTTTATCTGTGATTGATCGCATATGGTTTCATGTAAACTATTGTAAGTTCTGTTGCGTTTCCAATCATGAACGTCTTCTATCGACCTGGTCAGAATAAATGATAAGATTTCCTAAAATAAATTCAAAATCACTGACTGCATGTATATTTTACAGGCCAGCTTTATCTATATTTCCGGTCATTGTAACGTTTTCAAAATATTCTCTCATTATATATTATCACTACAAGTCATATTATGCTTCTTGTCATTGATTATATCAGTCTTAGATTGCAAGAATTAGGTTTTCATATAGTCGCTTATGAAACTAACTTAACAGTACTTCATATTGCAGAAATTCAATAGGAAGAGAAAAGCATCTGTAGTAAAGGAATATGAGTTCATTTGCTTTTCAGATTCAGTTCAGGCATATTTAATCAAATACATTCCTATCACTTATTCAAAAATAGCCTGTACATATCAATTTCACGTTCAGCAAATTCAAAGCTCGCATTCAGAGAAAAGTCACAAACGTAATTGATACTAAGGTTCCAATTTAATATCTTTGATAGACTGATTTCAGCTAGTTCGTCAATTTCCGCTCTTCAGTAAATCTACATACTTTTCTTATGATAATTAATGTATATGAGACAGGTTGTTAGAAACAAAATGGAATCTGTGAATTAAACAAACTTATGTAATTCTCCTAAATTATTATTCTGAATTCATCCAAATTTGTACTGAAAAATAATCAAAGGGGACGATTCTAAAAATTTAACAACTGGGCATTTCATACTGTCGTTGTATACAACCAGTTGAACAAGATTTAAAACACATTCGTGACATAGTTCGTAATTTCCTGCATTATTTTAATCTATTATAAAAATTATGGCTAACGTTCCATTGTTGGGTGTCTACAAACTAAGTGAATAAATACATTATACAAAATTCCAGCTACATAAACGTATAACATTTCACGACATGTATACCAATATTGAGCACGTGCCTTTTTCAGAATTTCAACTGTGGCAAAAAGGATATCTCTAGAGTTGAAGAGACTTAAAACGAAATCTTTTAAATTCAGGGTTCAGTCGATACCGATAATAAACCTCAGTTCATTGTACAACAACATTCTATATATAAGTAATCAATCGTGGATACTGAAAACACTAATTGTCTAAAATAATCAGAGTACGTATTCAAAATCGGAAGTAAAGGCGATGTTGTCAAGTTTGTAAAGTACATGGCTTAGATGCTTAATTTACTAAAGCAAATAAAATTTGTCTTAAGTTTTGAATATTTATTGAAGTTTTTATTTTCAAGCATTATCTACCTTAACAAACTCCTGAATTTCTGGTTCCATGTTGTTCTTTGTTTATCAGATTGAGGAAACTTTGCTAGATAATTTCACATTCGATGTTTTCTTTAATTTATTCATTCATTCTTGGCCCAGAGAAGACATAGCAGACTTATTTTCTGCATAGTAAGTAACCAATTACAATGTGTTTCTTTTTTGGCAATGTGACATTTTACATCGAAAATATATTACATCACTACTATTACCTATCGGAAATCCCGTTCATTCTGTTCAAATCCTATAAACTAATAAATCTTTCAGCGAGTAAATGGGTGGAGAGTTCGTCACTGACAATTTTATTCATGATCCTAGAGATAACTGGAGTAATATTTATGAGCCGATAATTCTTCATGTCCTTCTTATCTCCATATTTGTAACGTGGTATGACATCCGCGGTTTTCCAACAATAAACCTAAGTACCTGATTCTGCAGAGATAGTAAACAGATTTAGAAGAACAAGAAGAAGAGGTGGAATATCTAGACAACCATATTTGTAGAGAAAGGATGAAAGTTCGTCTATTTAATAAGCGTTCGAAACCTTAAGTGCATTTATAGCTTTACCAATTTTTAAACATGTGAAGTAAATAGATTTTATTGAGTTACTAGTCACATACATGACTCTTGAAACAGTTCCATTCGGGAATTCTCCACCATTCGCGAAAATACCACTGTCATGGTTTGCTATATTTTTAGAGTCGTATATGAGAGTGCTATTATGCAGGATGTATGGTATGTCAACATTTTGAGTTGCTTTAAAAATAAATCAAAGGGTTTAGTTTCTGTAACTAACGTCCAGTTTTCAACAGGATAAATGTTTACACCAATTTTTCAGTCATTAATGTATTGTATTAATTCCTGAATACAAATATGTAATATCCTTAGGGTCGATAGTTTACATATTAATGATCCAATCGATAAACCAATGATTTTAGTTAGGACATTAATTTTAGTAGTCCCTTGACGATGACATCACGTTGACCAGTACCAGATTATAAGATTATAAGATTAAAACGCAATGGGAACTATTACCTCCTGAACAAGTTATTTGACAATGATGATATTTTTATTTCGAGAGATCAAGTAGTGAAGTTTGCGGATCAATGGAAAATATAATCATATATTCCTACTATAAATAGACTACTCAATGTATTTTTCGTTTAATATTTTTCCAGTACTAAAACTAAAGGATTTATGAACTGTCAAGAGTTGAATTCATTTTTACACACAGTAAGTTGACTAGTTCTGCATTATCTTGTTGATATTTATAAATTGAATAAACCCTTATTGAAAAATCTACACACATAAGTTCAGGGTTTCCCATCCCACTAGTTCTCTTTGATATGTAAATGTGCTTGCTTTGTTATTTAGTGTACTCTAAAGCGAGCACCTGTATGTGTTTCTACTTCACTATGCGATAGCCTAGTATAAATTTTGATCTTAGATTTCTATTGCAATGACTCGTTTACCGACTCTAGTTTTTGAAGTGTCTTTATACGGTTTTGAAACTGAATACCTGTTTCGTTTCATAATAATAACTAAAAATGATTAAATTATGCTATTTTTATTTGATCTAAAATTCTTGTCATTCAAGTGGACAGAAACCTGATTAACAAAGAATTAATATTCCAACGAAATGAGATATGCGATTGAACTGACCACCCGATTTGCTTTTCACTTTAATCCTCAAGTTTCCCATCTAATTCATCCAAAATAGATTATCGTTTTGCATCAATTTGATTAAATCAAATTACGGAGCTTATTTAAACATATTTTAGTAACTACGGTTGAACCAGAGCTTGAAAACTAGATAAGACTGAACATGTGTAAATGTATTGCATGAAATATTCAAATGGAGAGCGTATTTATTTTCGAATCATTTATTATTTAGTACAAACATCGTAAATAAGATTGATTTTGTAAAAACTCGACGTAAACATCAATGTTATTAAGATTATGTCAAGATTTTCTCTGGACATTATTACGAATGAAAGAGTTCGTATTTGCTAAATGATAAAATATAACGGTCAGTATTAAAAGTCATCAGTCACCTGTTCATTCACCCAAGGTGATTTTCAAATGAAACACTGAATTATTATCAAGCAACCAGCATTATGTTTCAACAGTTAGATTCCTTTTCCAACTGGTTTTTTAGACAGGTTAACAGAGGAATTTTATGGAGTTCTAGTGAGTTCACTCTAGTGTGTACAAACATGGTGGTGCAATCCGACAAAACAACTGTTCAATCCACCTCATTTTCTAATTACTGTCCAGCCATTATTAGCTCGTGATCAAATGCTTTATAAATCGTGATATTGAAATCCCAAAATACAGAATCAGTTTGTGATAAATTAAACGATACTAAATGAACTGTTTACAGACTACTTACTTACTCCTCGTGAAGGAGCATAGGCCGCTCACCCGTATTCTTCATCCAACCCTGTCCCGGGCAATCCTTTCCAACTCTTTCCAGTTCTTATTCATCCTTTTCATATGCGCTTCTATTTCCCGACGTAATGTGTTCTTTGGCCTTCCTCTTTTCCGCTTCCCTTCAGGATTCCAAGTTGAGGCTTGCCTCGTGATGCAGTTTGATGATATACGTAATGTATGTCCTATCCATTTCCATCGTCTTTTACTAATTTCCTCTTCAGCTGGAAGTTGGTTTGTTCTCTCCTCCTGTAGTTCTTCTAGAGTTACTGCCGGTTCCAAACCCGGGTAAAGGAGGAAGATTAAACATGGGGTTAGCGACCCCATCCCGTAGAAAACCAACTCGCTAAACAAACGCTAACCAGAAAAAACAATTCAAACCATTTACAGACTACTTAGCACTATTTAATGATAATCATCAATAAAAAAGTTAGTTATAAAATCTTTTTACTTTAATCTTCCTCACAGAGTATTTCATACTTCACAAATCCAAATGTTTCTTTGGAAAATTCAAGGAATTTTAAGGCAGATGATAAGCATAAAACATTGAGACATATAAAATATCTACATATTGAACGAACACAAAATAATCAGACACCAGTAAAAATGAAATCATTTCAGAAATTTCAATCACAAAAATCTCAATATAATTCAAGTTTAAAAAGATCAAAAAGTTGTTACACAACTAATCAGACTAATTTAAATCAGAGTCAAAATGCGAATACTCTCAATTTAACTAGTGAATCTTTATCTTCCGCAACAAGTCCATCACATCACGACAGAAATAGAATAAACGATCACAAATCTATCTCTTCTCTTGTCATTACTAATTACAAAGAATTTAGTGAAATTGTTCAACGATATGAAACTAATCAATATGCAGTCAGTAAATGTAAGTTACTATTATTCGAATTGAATCATATATGGTGATATCGATTCACTTATAGTATATTACGCAACAAAATTTATCCACTTCTGATGCAATAAAAATTGCTTTAATTAAAGTCAACATCTAAGCCATTGATTAATATTAGTTGATAAGTTTACGAAATACAAGATTTTGTATCTCTTCCTAATGCTGATATTTAAAACTGAACTAACCGTCCTCTATTTACATAAGGAGTTCTTGTACCATGTGGTCCCTATGTAATACTGATGACAGTTGAGTATCAGCCGAACAATTAACAAATATCACAGATTATTATATACATAAGTATTATTTTTTGTAAAGAACTCAAGGGTTTCTATTTATAACTCTGAATGAGAATGAAAATCTCATGTAAAAGGTTATGGATTAAGCTTTATGATCTATAAGTTTTACCATAAAAGTGTTTTCTACTATCTATCAAAAAATTCGTTATTAAACCCCTAATGCCCCTGGCTGCATCTAGAAACAGGATTATCATTAGGAAATGTTGAGGAATTTGCTGAAAGGCAAATTACAGCAGCCTAGTATAACAACATCAAAATCTAGATACACACAAGTTTTTCAGTGTCACTAAGTAGGTCGATACTTGTCAAAACTTACTGGTCTTGGTCATTTTAGTAATCAGGTATATTTTATATATTGTTCATTTTGTGGAACAGCATAAATAAAAATGTAAAACAAGAACATTTTTCGATAGCCAATAAACCTGATCACTATCTGCAACATGGGTAATAGATTTCTGGTTGCTAGTTAACTTACGCTGAAGTTATCGGACAATTAGACCAAACATATAACCTTATATGAAGCCAGATTTTTTGATCGCATTCATCTACAATAATCAGCTGTATGACGCTGTTTTAACCCATTAACGATTCAAATCACGCTTTTGTTTCCCAAAATATATTTGACATTATGAAGAGGTATTCATACTATAATTACCATCGTATGTAACTACAAACACAGCGACAAATCTCTCAACATCTCTGTGTCGTATGTTTATCCGCTTTAATTTGGATAAATTTGTTAATTTGATTCATAAGCATAAAACTTCGGCACGCGTTGTTACACAACTCAAATTTTATAGAATTATACGTAGCAATAGTTTTTGAAGCAAACGTCTTGAGGCAAATAAAACTATGGGGATGAAATATAGGATCAACGTAACTTGGTATCGTCAAAGCGGAAAGAGATTCTATCAAATAATTAGTAGTTTACTCTAAATTAATGGTTCTAATAACATTAGTTTTTGTAAATAATATATACTATATCTTTTAGGTTTATTGACAAACGAAGGGTTTTACCGGTTACTCTTATCTTCCACATATCGTGATTTATGCATAAGCCGCAACCCAACTTTTGACAACTATGATCAACCAACAGAATCAATGTCTACAGTTGCAGAACCAACTAAATTTAGTTTAGATGCATCACAACATCCGCTCGCCCATTATTATATTAAAAGTGCTTATTTAACCCACAAAAACTGCAGAGAAGATGATATTAAACATACTATTCAATGTAATCAGGTGTCGCTTACAGATACTGCAATACCCAAAGAACCATGTCCTGTGATAGGATATGGTATTAAATCAAATAGGATTCTTAGAACTATCCGTCAAGCGTTATTTTTTGGAATTAGGTAAGTCATATTTTACAACAAAACTATTTTTACTCAGACAATAAAGACAATTTTAACTGGCTTTGATTTCTAAATAAATAATTGTTTTGTTTAGTGATGAAAAGTCAATTTGTGTTTAGTATTTTATATATATATACCTGAAATTCAAAATTCCCACACTTGAATAAGTTCTATGCATTTTATTTAGCTTATGAATCTGTTTTCCTTTAGTTACGATTTATTTATGGTGATTCGCTCTATAAATAATTTTCCACAAGGGATTTTAAAGCTTTTGTCATCGCTAAAACGAAGTAATCTTCTGATTCAGAAGTTTCTTTTTATGCTGTAAACCCATAATTTTCCAATTCTAGAATAAAATAAACTGGTGATAACGAAAAGAATTTGTTGAAAATAAAATGACAATAGACATTCTCTGGAATGTCAGTTAAGCTTCTCATTGTCAGTCATAGTGTTATAATTGATTTAACTAGTCAATTCTCTAATATTTGAACATATTGATAATCTCCGAATGAAGTATTTCGACCTTATCCATGTATCAGGATGAATGCCATTTTAGGAAACATATCAGATACGCAGCGAAAATGTAATACATGTTTCTATCAATATGAGATAGGGTTGGCATTCACCTGCTACAGAATCAATGGAAATTACGTTCTTTTCTTAAATTATTAAAAATTCAAGTTATTTGTTCAGGATTTAAAACTTCTCCTTCTCTTCTTTTTTCTTTACAGGACCCTAATTTTAGACTGTCATTATTTTTCAAGATTAGTTGGAGCCGAAACTATTATTTCTAATGAACTTATCATTGTCCCCACAAATCCAAATAAAATACCAACTTGTTTTACAGAACAAACCTCACATGACTCATTTGATTTAATGAGATCCATTTTGTACAAAAACTATCCATATGTCTTATTCAAGGTAAGTTATTGTGGGTAGTTATAATTGACGGAAAATACACATTTCATAATGGCTTGTAAACCCTGTAAGACTTCACGAAGCATCAATAATATATTTTACTGTAATAATGAACGAATGAAGTCCAAACTCCTAGAAAGTGCATACACATTCAGTACACTAAAATTGGATACAAAATCTTTGATCGAAGGTTCGATGCTGATTCTTTTCATAATCCGTTAAAAAATCAAGAAATATATCTCTTACCCACAAGAGTTGACACTCAGTAATTTTCATATGCAACAATGTAAATCAAGCTATTTTAATGTTTGATTAAGAAATTAATGTTAATTTTGATATCCACTCAAGATTAAAGTTAGAAATCCTCGCTAGTCGAAAATTGATTGCAAAAGGTTGTATAAAAATGATAAATATTGCTGTAATAAACTGACGATTGACTGTTCTTTTCCATATATGTTAAGCTTCACATTGATTTGAAGCAACTGATATCGTCAGTGTAGAAGATTTGTAGACATAGTTTCATTTTGAAGTTGATATCGCGAACTATTTTCAGCTATACAGCTAGCGAAAAGTATGAAGCACTGAACACCTGCTTGACGTTAATATGAGAATTCTCATCAACGTCTATTTACGATTAGATGTTGGATCGAACCAAGATCCTTCAGACCTCACCCCAACCATTAGACGACTGAGTTGGTTTATATTTCTAATTCAAGTCATTTAACGATATTGTACGATGATTCACCAGTTAAAGCCACTCCATGGTACGAACTACAACTTTATATACTAGTAATAACCATGTGCCTACAAGAGATTAACCTCTTATGGCCTAGAAAGAATCTATTACCAGTACAGTCTACCAATATCGGACGTGAAATAAATATCATGAATGGCAATTGATGATGGTAGTCCAATATTTCGAGTTAGCTAGAGTTATAATTGTGTGCTAGATACAGTGCGGGAGAGCTTTTGGATCAGAATGTTATCCCTTTTTGTAAAACGAAGAGCTACAAATTAAATTAGAAGAAATAGTTACAAATAGATTGATATTCATATCTTTTATACTCCACTGTAAAGGAGTTTATGTATTCCTAATTAGTAAACGTTAAATTAAACATGAATGAAATATCTTATCTAAATTGTTTTACTAAAGTGATTTGTTAAAATTATTTTCCACAAAGACGAAATGAATGTTTAATTTTTCTATACGAATTTGCTTGAATTTCAGGAATCCAAATAAAGATAATATATTTTTTCTGATGTATTAGGTGAGCATGATCAATAAGTAATTACCATTCTTTTAGAGATTCAAGTTTCATGGACTGTTTAATTTGTAGGGTACTGGCTTTAGCAATATCAATACATTGATTTTGTAATCAATCCCTTTTCGTAACGGTAACGAAAATAAATAAAGTTTTGGTAACTGCTGAATGTCAAGATTGATTAATGACTGGTCTGTTCATTAATTGTCATTTTATCCGATTTATGTCTGTATTAATTAAAATTTATATGCGAACGATTATTTAATGATATTATATACCATATTAGTTGAAGTATGTTTAAATGACACCTGTCATCATCACATTATGATCTAGAAATTTTTTTATTTACTTTACTCCATTTTTTAGTCCGTCCTACAAGTTCTGAATGAAAATATATTCCTTATTTCTGATTATCCATTCATTCTGATCATAAACTTGTACGGGTTAGGGTGAGTGTACACAATGAAGAGTTGTTTTTTATTTGTTGTTTTGCCGACTAAAACTTCTACTTAACATTATGCATGAACCAAAGATAGAATAAATGTATTTCAAAAATTAATGATCGATCAAAATAAAAACAAGTCATGAATGTTTGCTTTCACTGAAAAATATATGTCCAAGGTTAAGTTCGAAAATCTCTGATTATATTTCATAAATATTTCTCAATACACAAGATAACATAAATATTCGACTTATAGAAGTTATTTATTAAAGTACTCGTTAATTCTTGAATAAATTACCCAAGATTTCAGAGTAAGGTTCAGATACCTAAAAAATAATGGTAATTTTGTTTTACTAGACAAATCATACATAAAGTGAATATTTTAACGGACCAGGAGTTTATCCACTATGTTAAGGTTTGCAGTTACTACTCTCGAGCAGAAGTGTGGGTAGCGATTTGAGGAAATCTGAATAAAATCATTAGGTTCCGCTTACATACCCGCTTGATTATCATGTTGTACTACTGTTATTTATTCGTGAGCTCGTTGTTTATTCACACAAGACAATTCAGTTATCAGCTTATTCAAATACAAATATTACTATTGAACAAGTTTTGAGAAACAAATTTCATATCTTTTAATTGACAGTTAAACAATACAAAATGATATTCCATGAATATACTTAATTTGGTTTGATAACACTGACGTTTTAGCATATTTCATAAAACATCTGAAGTTTATTTTTAATCAAGTCCACTTACTATTTCAGGATTCAGGTTGGAAGAGAATAAAAATTATTTGCTCCAGATTTTATTTCGACTAAAATCTGACTTTCATGAATCTTTGTGATTGTACATGTGGATTCAAAAATTATCTAAATACTGTACATAAAATTAAATTAATGTCAAAAACGATTGTTATACAATTTAGAAAATTTGATTTGAATGTAATTGAATATTGAGTATTTGATCATTTTCATTTTTGTTTGGAATAAAAAATAGTTTGACTCTAATCTCTTTGTTCTATGTTTTTCATGTAAATCAAACTAAACTTTTGAACCTCAGTCAAGAGCAACAATGCAGACTCGCAAATTTGCTGCAAGAATATCTTGGACAGTGGATAATAGTATCGCCTTTACCGAATTATACCAGCAATTTGAACAATAATAATAAGCTTGAAAAGGAAACTCATTCAATTTATTCAAAAACAAATTACTCAGTAAGTATTACTCAGTTTTTCTGTTAAGTTGGTTAAAAATGAGTTTGATATTAAATATCCATCACCGATTAATTTCACAATCGTAATCTTTGATGGATTATTTTCATTTTCAAATAGCAATCTCATACAGTGGGCTTAGACTAACAATGATGTAGATGAATATGTACTGAGACCAAATAGTCGAATAAATAATTTTATATAACCTATAATTTAGTAACTTAGGCCAACTATGATATACTTCTGTTATTCTTTACTATAAACATTGTTTTGCAGCTAAAGTCATATGCAAAGAAAGTAGTCTCAAAATACGTCACAAAAATGAACAGTTGGCTGGATAACACAAACGGTGGATAATAGTGCGAAATTTTTACCAATATTAAAATTAGGATTGCAATAAGACTTACGAAAGCATATGCCTTAACTATGAAAGTTGTAAACTTAAGCCTTTTTTACAACAGTAGAAAGGAAACTTATAAAACAAATGTTTATTTTACGTCATGATAAGGAATAAATGATTAATTGCTCAGTCATTTGGCTTTGTTTGCTGGATCGTAGCCAGTTAAATTCTCAAACTTGTAGTGTGTTAGCTAACTATTTGATAATTATACGGTGGTTCGATAGATAAGTATCATATCACTTTAAATGACTTTTAATAAATTATTCTCCGAAATGTTGTTGCTAGTTAGTCTTTCTTCCTAATGGAAAAGTCAACAATGTTCAGCTGGCTTAAGAACCTGTTTCATTTTAGATGAACCGTATCATTTGTAAGCATGCAAATTGACGCGAAAATGAGACTACTTAAGAAAAGACGACAAACTGTTATTAAACTGAACATACCTAGATTTGTTTACTGTATTTAGATAAAAAGTCCCACAATAGGACGAAACGGCCGTCCAGTGCTTCCAGGTTTTCAATGGTGGTCTAACATCAATCGGTTCATGATCTCAATCAAAAACTTGACAATCTCCACAACACCTAACTTGATAATAAAAGGGCATTTTAATATACAAAACTAATCTAAAATATAGTAAAAATTCCCATTTTGACATTTGGTAAATGAAGAAGGAACGAATTGAGCGAAGAAATTTCTCTTCGATTCGTTTTTCATCATGGCTCTACACTAATATATATATAATTTACAATAATGATATGATACTCATCGAGTGGATACGTTACGTAATAATTACATAGTGACATTTCTATTATAAATTAACATTGAGTAATTAAAAGGAAGAAGATTAATAATAATCAAAGTAATTATTCGAATATCAAGAAGTTGCTACGTTGCATAATATATAAAAGAGAGAGGGAACAGAATTTTTAATGGATGGTTAATAGAATAGTAGTTACGTAAGAATCAAGAGACGAATGTTGAGAAATTATAAAGTTCAAAAACAACAAAAATAAAATTAAAAAATTAAAAAAGACCAAATGGAAGAAGTATGAAAAATAGTTCTATTGAAAGAAATCTTATACCGATGGCCAAGGCAGCGAAAGTGGTTGTACAGATTTCTGTCGAATGCAAAGGTTAAGTTTGTGAACATTGTTTGCGATGGCTTTCGCAATGTGCAAAAGGCACACTCGTAAACTATGTGGCAAATTTGATGAAATATGGTAGATAACCTTAAATCATATATATATATGAAGTACAACAATAGTTTGTTATTAAACTGTTCAAGCACAACTCACACGGACATGGTAGTCTTCGAAAAAAAATGTAACTTTACAAATCCTAGATAAAAAATGCTGTAAACGTTGAACAATCACACCAAATTACATGTCACTAGTAAAACATAATATTGTGTGATAAACCCCAAAAACATAAACCATTAGTGTTAAGTAAAGCGTAGTTACTTTATTAGGTCTAGAATCAAAATAATGTTCCATTTACTGATGGTGCATAATTGTCAAGAACAAAATGTTTCTTCTAATACTATCCCTCAGTCCTCCTAAATCCTTACGCAAAAACATGAGATTGGTTGAGCATAAAACTTTAAACCGGAGGAAATCAATATTGCAATCAGGAAAATGAAAGACGCTAAAAAGCTAATCATTCTGGTTTCCTAATATTAAATTATATGTCAGTCAATATTACTAATTTGATGCTTTATTACCATGTTACATTTTTAAGAGACATGGAACCGAATGTTAGCAAAAGCACATTTATTTGAAATCTTGAAGGAAATTACTACAAAGAAAAAGCCAAACTGGTCAGAAAGGATAAAATTATAAGAATAACCAAACTACATATGAAACATAGATGACTTTAAATATTTCTACATTTAAACATGTTTCTAAACTTCCGTAAAACTGATATCCTTGGATTTCGCACTAACAAATTATGATTTTTTCCTTTTGTTTTAAATATTGCATCTGGAAGCATATCTACATTTTCACTTGAATAGTGAGTTTACGAATTGAGTGCGTTAATATTTTATCAACAAATATTCAACATTTATCATGTTTGCTTCATTGAATCATTTTTAGAACTAAGATAAAGCTGTGACAAAGATCTTATTGAAAAAAATAATTTACGCCCAACTCACCCTTAAAGTACCTTGCTTTCACTTCATCTATCTATGTGTATGTACTGAAATACAGTGAGAGATTTAGCTAATCATTTTTAAATGAAATCAATTTAAACTTGGTGTTAGGTACTACCAATAATAAACTGTTTGATAAATAACAAGCTGTTTTTATGTGTAAAATAATTTATTTGTTTAGACAATAATTTTTTTATGAATAATTTTAGCGTCACCTACCGTCACCAGAAATGTTAAAAAATAAGATACTTCTGAGTATTCGCTTGGTTAGGACGACCAGATCATTATCCGGTAAGTAAGGCGATGTACTAAAATGAATTAATTTTACTGTATAAAAATATTACCGAATCCGTCATAATAAGAACAATCAGTCAGCACATGGTAAAATGGCTGCTTTCATATGCGAAAATTAATTTGTTTATACACGCGATCGTAAGTATTTTGAGTGCAGTCAACGTGGACAACTTAGTACTGTTATATGAACAGAAAACCTAAATTTTAATGATTGTATCGTTAGTTAAATTTAAAAAATTAGATTCAAACGTTTGTACTGCATATTTATTAACCAGTAGCTACCTTGTATATGACTGAATTATGTGAATTTCGAATTCTTTGCATTACGGTCATATTTATTTACTAGGTAGTTAAAAGCGAATTATCCTCGGTCAGTTCCTTTGCGTTATAGAAACAAAAGAGATAACATGACCTTGAAAATTGAATATGATTTGAATGAGTTGTTTTACAGTATACTAATAGGAATGACTGAATAATCTTATTTATTATAACCGAACGGAGATACTCACACGAATAAGTTGACAAATGAGGCAGTACGGAACAAAACTGTAAAACATTGTCCAAAAGAGAAAAATATAATTCATCTTAATAACTGATCACTTTGTGTAAATAAGGGAAACATTGGATCCGTTCAATTCATGAGTAAAATGTATGCATATTACCTGGATCACAACATTTAGAAACTGAAGTGTCTGTGATAATCATATTAATGTCATGTACATTAGCTAACAAACTTTGTCCGTTGATTCAGATACTTCTCGTTTGAAGCGGTGAAATACATGAGAACAATTTCCATAACTGACACTTGTTTTGTCTAAAAATATGAAAAAAATAATTTCCTCTGAATGTGATCAATAAGAAGGAAGTTTTATAAGTATCTTTTATATTCTCTCAATACACATGTCAACATTTCAACTAAGAATGAATCTTACTAACTTCAAAAACACACCGTTTTCCCAGTGTTTAAAAAGATTCTATTGTGGATAGAATAAATTCTTTTGTATAATTTTCACTATCATGTAATTTCATTAGTGTCTTCATGTTTTGGTCATGGGTACACCAACAATAGAAATATTTAGAGCGGGAATTCAATGTTGATTCGAAATAGATTTGAAATTCTAATTTATTTTACGTAAAAATCACCTTATTAAAAGAAACGAATAAATACAAAACCAGGCTTGTCAAGGTTGTAAAATTAGTTTTAACTCATGAGTTGGAAACACTTTTATTTAACAATCGTCGTATACCTTGAATGACAATTAAATATCTGAAACAACATATAGATTTATGTTATAATAACCATGTTGAAATTCGATTGAACGGGATATCATAATAAGATGGAAATGTTAAAGGATAACCAGAAAGTTGAAAGACTAAATAATATTAAAATAATGGATTAATCGATAAAGCTAAAAATTATGAACGATAGGGCGAAATCTTAGAATAATGAAGATTCGTAGCTCTTGTGGTTATTTCATTCGCTGAGCTGGTTACTGTAATATCAAGCGTTTCTATGACTTTATGTGTAACATCATCACCCCTTTGTCAAGTATACAAAAAGACGTTGATGATATTGTTCTGAAATATAATTTAAACCTTATGATTAAACCGTTTAGCTTAGAGGACTTAATACAATCTAAGGAATGAAGTTTTCAAATGAGATTTGTTTTACATTCAGATTACTATATTCGATGGACAAAATTGCAAAAACTGCTGTATTCAACGAGCTGCTTAAAACGTGATACAAACTTCATTAGAGCATTATAAATAGAAATGATTTTCCAACTTTTAAATAAATGTAACCTCTTGTTTCCTGTAAACGAAAATATTGGTACATTACGAGTAAATATTTGAAGTTTAGCGAATGTTTTGCAAAATATTACGCAAAATTATCCTACTAGAGGGTGTTAAAGTGTATCCTTAAGAAAGATATAAATACAATAAAGTATCTAGATATTCCATCCAGTCACCAGAGCCCGAACCAAGGACCTACAGGGTCTGTAATGAACGCCTACTGTGCTTGAGTTCAATGGTTTCCATTTCTAACTACAGTCAGTTTGCGATACTGCATGCCTCATGGAGTCTGAAGGACCAAGAATCTTTTTTAGTGGAGTCAGGGATGGATACTGATGAAGAGACTCATACTATGATAAAACAGCTGTCCATTACCCCTTGGTTTTCAATAATACATAGACTAAAGTTAACACGTGATGAAGAACTTCAAGTGATATTCATATTTGATGATATAGAGTGTAATTTTGTGGTAAATATAAGAGGCCTTTTACTGTTTTGCAGAGTTCAATCACATGCATTTCTTTAAATTACTACCTGGTGTTTTTAGTTAATGTAAAAAATTTTGTTTCATCATTTCTACCCTAATTGCTAAATATAAACAGCACTTTTTCTATTATATTCTATACTCAAAACATAATGAAAGTCGAAACATATTTCTCATTAATATGAAAACAAGGTTGTCTTAAATCTCTGTTTTAAAATGTTGTCCATTAAATAGATTTACATTGAACAGATTAAATCACAGAGTCAATTGCGAATTATTATATTTATAAATTAATTAATTTATATAATGAACATGTTAATTATTGTTTTATTAGCTATCAAAATAATAAAATGACTTTTTGGACAGAATACTTACTTTTTCTTTACTTGTTCTATTTCTTTTTTTATCTACTCTAGAAGATCAGTCACAAGAGCTAGTGACAGACAAAGTACGTTTTTGCAGACAGTAATATATAATAAATTAAGATAAGCAATTAGTTAATTGTAATTTATAATAGTAATAATAATGATAATAATTTTCATTATCTTTTATAATTGCTTCAAAGTAATTTGACATTAAAAGCTAATACTGAGTTTCCTTTTAGTAGAATACATTTGATTATATCTAGCAATTGTATTTTTATATTTTTCACAATAAAAAAAGAAATGAATATTTCATTCGTTTTATCTCATACGATTACGTACATCTTCTTCAAGACAGGTTGGATGAAAGAGGAATAGAATCCATAATAAGTTGTGGTCATATTATTGTTCATATAGCATATCTTTTTTAAAATCCATGTAATTTGTAGTCAGTATCTAGAATCATAAGAGGATTTGAAGTGGACTTAACTTAATCACAACTAACTGCCACTAAAAGTTGGATGACTGAACGATTCTGAGCCATGTCATTCAGTCACTAGACACTGGTAACGATAATCACACAGATTCCAACCAAGTAGCCTGCATTTACCTGCAAAGCTCAATCCAACAGTCAGTGCTTCTATGGATTGTCTCCTCGTTATGTTATACCCCTCCTATATTTCACCCAACCTAATTCTTTACCAGCCATCATCGGTGTCGAAATAGGCACTAATTGAACATGAATGATATATGCCTCAAACACCTGAATCAATGAAGATTCACTACCTCATTAATCTATTTGACATACCCATCAAATAAGCTGTGTATAACCTTATTGTTGCCAACTTAGTAGTCCTTAAATACTCGAGCAATGCTTCGAAGCCATCTATGATTTAATGCTGGAAGCCTACAAATATATTTATCTTTGAAGGTCATGTTTCACAATCATAAAATTAAAGGAGAGGACTACTGAGTATCACAGTCGTGTTTTGTTTTCCTGACGGGTATCTGACCTTCGCTACACATTATCCTAGTTGCCAAACCCCAATCGAATTTGCTAAATCTGTGCTGATATTTCGTCAAACATCAATCCACCGTGGCTGATGATATTTCCACGATAGAGGAAATGTCTGACGTACTTAACTACTTCAATCCTCACTATAATTTAGACGTTAAAACATACCAGTTATCGGGCAATTTTTTTGTTTATAGAGATCGGAACGCATTCCAAACTCCTTGGATTGTTGCTCAAGTTGATCATCACCTTAACCAAATAAGACTATATCATCTGCGTATTCTAAGTTAACAAGTAGATCTCTCGGTACAAGGTCAATTCCTGAAAGTCAGACTATGAGAGAGTAACAATGTGACGAAGTCAAATAAAAATAAAGTGAACAACCCTGACGAATACCACTTAATGTAGTCAATTCTAATGACACTTCACCATAATCTTTGGCTCTACTAATAATGTTCAAATAGGGATTCTGTTCGTTTTTGATTTATTTCGTTGATACACCTTTCAATGACGAACATCACCATAAAACTCGTAGATCTACGGAGTTGAACACTCCCTTAAGGTCCAGAAACACAACTATGATTGATAGCCAGTAATTTTTTCAGTGTTTCAGAATCTAACGGAAACGAATATTTTATCGGTACATCAACATTCGAACGTGAAACCGACCTAGTTCTCCTATGTTTTCTGTATATAAGCCCCGATTAAGATTCAGATGGCTATTGTTGCTAGCATTACTGATACTATATTGGACAAGCTAGTTCCTCATCGGTTATCACAGGAGGACTCTAGTCCATTCTTATGAACTGAGATGGTCTGTGAGCAATAAAATTCAGACAAGATTAAGTATAGTCTCCAGAATCTGTCTAATATTTCAACCAAACTGACTTTTAAAATTGGTACATCATTCTTAACAATCTCTGAGGTTGATCTATCATCACTTCCTACTTCCCCTTAATTTAGAAAAACCATAGCTTTTTCAACTCCTTTAGAAATCGGGAAGCTTATGTTGACATCTCATTGATAACAACAGACATCTGGTGGCTATTGGAGTTGTGCTTTTAAGCACCACACTCATAGTCATAATCCTCTGCACTGAGAATGGATCGTCGTCTCATCTTTTTCCGAAATAGTCGAATTTTTGATGCTTATTTCCTTGATCGATCTGGAAAGCTGAATTTTACTATGTATCACTGCTGTCTCTTCTACTTCTTTTATTTTTTCGCTTTATCACTGCTTGAAGTCGTTACGTAGACCTCTAGACAGTCGATATATAGGTTTCCTATGCACCTCATTGTGTTCGGAACCTGGTGCATGACCTTCTGAACATTTATCAGTTCAGCAAATGCCTCTGAAATCCACTGGTTTTTTGATCGTTTGATTTAAGTCATCGCTGTTTTCATAGATGTCTGTATATCCTGTTCGCCCACTTTGGGGTGAACACTTACATAATTAAATAACTTCTCTAGTTCTTCCCGAAATATACTCTTGACTTTTTCGTCGTTAAGCGGAAATCTGTGAGATCATTCTGTGGCTTTCTTGCGTCCGACAGGACGTGAATAATTTCATTTCCCAACTAGAACATGATCAGAGTCTAAAAATAAACGCAAGAGTGAGTGGTAGTCTTCTATTGAACCAATCCAATGATGGCTTAAAACAACATGGTTCATTTGAGTCCATCGCCTAGTTGATTCTGAGGGTCTTTATACTGGGCAATATCTCTCCTTTTTTTACTTTAGCGCTTACTGGAAATAAACCGTTATTGCAGTAGTTATATCACATGATGGCCGTTATCCGTTCACCAAGCTGAAAGATCGTATGATCCTTCTAAGTGTGTTTCAGTCTGATCTAGACTGCCTTCTTGAGTAATAAAATAATCTAATGCAATTACGAAGCCGGTACACTTGGATTTTTAATGAAGGGTAGAGTTAGCTTTGAGTAAGCTACCATCAAGCCACTGTATCAAAAAACGACTGTCAATGGTGGGTATGTAATAACAAAGAGACCTTACTTCAATGCTTTTTGCAACTAATTAATACTTCTTCAAGTATAGTCTATGAAACATTCCTCTCATTCCTAACAATGCAACAAAAATTTAGCCTCAGAAACTGCTTTTAACTGATTGCTTGACATCAGAGACCCTGATTTTAATAATTTAATTATCAGGAAAATTGATATTAAATGAATATTTTCCAATTTGTTTTGCTGAATAGAAAACAAATTCGTCAATAAACTAAATGTACCACCCCTATTTCTATCTGAAGGATAGATATGCCTATAGTTTATTGAAAAGAATCAAAACAACTACACAGCTTTCCCAAGGTCCCATTACTTAATGACGAAATATTATTCCAATAAAAAAATGATATTTAGACTCAACAAATCACCATTCATTGCATCATCAATATTTAACAACATTACAAGAAATAAGTTTATTTATTTTACTAACAATATAACCAATTCTAACTGGAAATGACAGAAAACATAAAAATGAAAAAATAAAAAAATAATTGTCGTATAATAAACGAACATTAAATATTAACGTTTTTACTATTCAGTTATTCAAAATAATGATAAATAAAATGTCATAAATTTAGTCTTTATTTTAAATATTTTTTCGACGTAAACCTTGTTTATATTACAAAACAAAAAACTGTGTGCTCATCAGTTTTATTCCGGTTAGTATGATCATCAGAATATAATGCAAATTTATAACTATCATTTCAACAGTTTCAAATATATAGAGAAGAAAGAGACATTTGGAAAGATAGTCGAACTAATTGTTGACATCGGTAGTTAGTGAAATTAAAAAATAATTTTCATCACGAACTGTGTCTTTAATAAAGCGGATGTCAGTTGAAGGTGACAACTAACTTCATAATTAACTACATATAAGAACATTCCATCCTAACGATGTACGAAGTTGATTGTAAGCTAATAAAGTCATATAATATGTCTCTCAACGAACACACTAAGCTTTAAATTTAATCGGAGGTTTATTGTAGATCAGGTATATTAAACAACTTGATCCATATAACTGCAGAAATCGACTACCCAAGGATGATGACCACATGGTTAATAATCGGGAGTTTTTCCAAGCGAAACAACTAATCAATACGAGAATATAATTACGATTAGCTTAAAACAAGTTTCAAACTAACAAATCTCTCAAACAATCAAGTATAACTATTCATTTATTTAAAAGAATCGCATAAAATATCAGTAATATCAAGTATGACTTATTTATTTATAATCGCATCAGTACTAATATTTTGTTCACCTAATGACAGTACTAATAATGTTTTACGATAAATTAAATGTTTTATTCTTTATCCATTAATGTATAGTCACAAAGTCACTTAACTCAAACAACGCTTTTGAAAAATGCAGAAGTTGCGTCGCCATTAACTGTATTTATTACAAATCCTGAAGGTGAACAAAAAGTAAGTTAAGTATATCCCTAATAGTATTTAGTTTTTTAGCTTACATTTTCCGTATTAGCGATACACGTTTCCAGTATTTTGAAAAAGAAAAAAAACATTTTCTCATTACTTCGTGTTAGAAATTTTTCAGTACTATTTTGAAAGTAATTTCTAGTAAATCTAGCATAAAATGTCCTTGATATTGAGAGTAAGTAATTACGCCTGTCACCCTTCGTGAAGGAGCATAGGCCTCCCATCAGCACTCTCTTGTCCTGGACGATCCTTTTCAGTTCTTTTTAGTTGTTAATCATCCTTTTCATATCTGCCTTTAATTCCCAACACAGTGCGTTCTTTGGCCTTTCTCTTTTCTGTTTCCATTCAGGATTCAAAGTTACCGTTTATCTAGTGATGCAGTTTCGTGATTTCTGTAACGTGTTTCCTATCCAGCTCCAGCGTCTTTTCCTAGTTTTATCTTCAGTTGGAAGCTGGCTTGTTTACTCCCATAAAAGGCTGTTGTTGATGGTATTCAATCAACGAACATTAAGTAATTACACTAATGAGTAGATTTATTAAACCGTATGAACGAAGTAATAAATAAATCGATTAACATTAGTGTAATGATATCAATTCAAATATATACTTCAGTCAGTTTATTCTGCTAAATGAAAGAATCTATTACTATTTTCCGTTGAATTTTCGAAGTTCTGATGAGCTGTCATGAAGATGAAAATTATCAACAACCTGTTTTGGAAAACTATTATCTAGTGAATTAGACAGGTAAAAATGACTGCAAATTATGAGTATTTTAAAATATTCTGTTAATAGTTGGTGAACATTTTGACACTACCCTCTGCAAATTCTTTAATGAAGCACGGGAGCAGATTGGATTATACATATTTCATAAATTCTGGAGATATGTGCTTGGAAATACTTACACAGCAACCTACTCAGAATTCTTGTCCAAAAGGTTTTTAAACTTTTATTCACTTCCATAAAACTTCCTGTTTTAGATTTGTTTAAATAATTATGCATGACAACAATATACTCTTACATGCGTCCATAAGATGTTTACAGCTTATTGTAAATCTAATTAATGAAGAACCTGAAAACATTACTGCAGTAGGTTTTACATTCTTCTTCACTTAGATCATTGAGAAGTGACTATTATATAATTCGCACGCCAAGTATATTAGACGATACAAAGCGATGTCATAGGAGGATGACTGGCTATAAACATTTACAGATGAGTCTGAAGAGTAGTTAATCATTGAATAAAAACTGTTGGTATACATTCTTTGAAAAATTTACAAGATAAATGTTCATATATCGGGAATTTTATTTCGATTTCTCAAATTCTGTGATAAAAGTTCTTTGCAGTAATCATACAATTGGTAAGATTATCATCATTAACACCAGTGTGAAACCAGTTCTATGCTTCCTTTCTGTCATTGGTTTAATCAGCAAGCCATTGAAAGCAAGTTCAGTAATCCTAAGTCATATAGTTTAATATAACAGCCATAGCTTAACTTATCTTCTGAAATCTCCTCAAGCACTGTCTAATTTTTTCAATCCTGTCATTTAACTAACGTCAAATCTTTAAAATTTTATGAGCTAATACTAATTTTAAGTTTTCTTACACTACTTAATACCTTTTTAACTAAATACATTTATGGCAGTCGTCTTTAGCAGTGAGGAAGTGACTCCAGAACCGTTAAATATGAAAAGATAATTTATGAAAATTCCGAAAGACTTCCAAACTAAGCCTAATACGATCAGAGTACTTCAACAAAATTTTAATTACTGTTTCACCTGTACAATTTTTTTTTTCATATAAAGTGCATTAAAAGCTCGGTTGTTCTGTTTCGAACTCGCTCATTCATAAGAATTTTCTAATAAAGCATTCACTTATTACATAAATGATATATATATATATATATATATATATATTGACTAAAAAGAAAGAAAGGAAGATGAAAACTATGAGCAAACAGATGGTTTGAGTCAATGAAATTGATGAATGAAATTTATTTTCAAACTTATTCTATTTACTATACTTTCTTAAGCATTTGCTTGATATCTATTTTATATACATAGAACAACTTTAGTTGTTCAACTAATTTCTGTTCACAGAAATGATTACAATTTAATTAAAATTTTAGTTGTAGCAAAATGAACTGCAGTTAGTTGTGTTTCTCTCTACTACATAATAACAAGTCGTACGGTCATCTAATCAATCGATTCATGTTTTTAATAAGCTTCGTGACCGATTTTGTTTTTCCGAAAGGGACACTTCTAATAACTATAATTTGACTTCAAGATGGATCTGAATGCATGAACTGACATAGTGTTGTCATAACATAAGACTTTAGTAAAGATAGTCAGTGGATGATAGTGAAATCTAGGACTAGCATTTCTTATCACTTGGGACCAGTCATTTAAATGTACCTCCATTCCAGTGCTGGTGTTTACACTGGGACTTAATGCCAAGGAGAAGATAAATACATTGATAAACACATAACATAATTAGTTACAACTTTTATCGACTCTACAATTGAATTGTTTGTATATCACTATGAAATAAAATAAGATTATATGTACAGTTACGTTGAATGTAATAACGCTGAATATAAATGATTGTTAATTTCCGTTTGGATTCTCGTTCTACAGGACTTAATGAACCAAATTTCTCTTTATATAAACACTGCAATCACATATCTTTTACGAATTAAGATTTCACAATTATTCATCACAACCAACATCAATTTGGTCTAATAAGTATTTCATCCAGAATGATGAAGAACAGAAGGTATAAGGATATATTAAATGCTAAACTATCACGAATTGGTTGATTTTGAAATAAAACTCCCAAATCTCTCAGAAGTGGCCAAATGATATCGCGATTATTACTAGACGTTAACGTAATGGATTTGATCACACGAGGACCTTCTATACGAATTGGTAAGAGGCCTCAGGTTAGAATGAGACAAGTACTCATTGTTACCTTATTTTACTGGTTTCCAAGGGGATGACATTCTTTCATGAAAATATCGTTAGCCCGACAGTAATCTTCGGTCAATATGCAGTATTTCTAAAGTAGAATGATGCTACTTAAAAAATTCATAAACAACATTAACTTTACCGATCATTTAACGTTATGTCTATCTACTAATGAAGGGTTATATTTTTTAGAGTGCAAGCCAAGATATAGCGTCTACCAACAGTAGTAGTCAACTCAGTCCACCAGTAAAGCACAGGTTGAGCTTTAACAAAATACTTGACGAATCGGCAACACCAGAGGATCATAATTCGAATGGCTGGATTCCAAAATGTTGCGGGATGTATACAAATAAAATAATTGATCGAAATGCCGCATTTTCTGGTCAAGATGAAGTAAGCTATTTACACCCACGTCTGGCCAGACTTGTAGTATTGCCAACGCCAGATTTTCCTCCTGACACTTGTATAGCATTACACTATCAGTATTTGCTTTGGAACTCCAAGTTCAATGTAATGGATTTCGATGGTAGGCACTTAGAATCTAATATTTTACGAAGGCTACAGATTAGAAGAAAATCTGAAAGACCAATACATGATTCAGGAAGTTTCAAAAATATGAACTCTGTTAATCTTGACAATAATGATCTACAGTCAAACAGAAAATTGGAGGAAGGTGAACTTCTTACTTCTCTATTTAACTTAATTACTACTCGGAAGGCCCAGCTAAAACACAGAGATAGGAAAAGAAGATTACTTAAGCGTTTAATCACCGAGGTTTGTGGAAATATGACTAGCAAGAAAGGATCAACATCAGGTGTAAATAATACCCCATCTTCAAATAGAAAATATACATGTAAGTCTGAAAGGATTAAAAAATATATCTGCATTCTATTTAAAAATGATTGGAGTGAATTAATTCCTTAAAACAAAGATTAAATTCTTTGGTACACATTTTTTGCCCATTATTCATAATTTAAGCGCGTAACTTAGATGTATGAATTAAATAAACAGAGTTCTCTTCGTTTAAGTTATATGTCTACGATAATTTACTATTGGTGCGTTTTAACACAGATCCACTTAATTTAGACAAAATACATTCGTTTGCTGTTAAGAACTACTGTTGTAATGATTATGAAGCGATAAAACTTTTGAGTCAAAATCACTTTGTTGTATTCAACTATAGACAAGTTAAAGATCATACGTGTTCCTAATTACAAGACTAAATTAGTTACATTAAACTCAATAAAGTAAATTATTACCACCAGTAATTATTGGGCACGAAAATTACTCCACTATTCTCTATTTTATATTACAGCGATCGGAGTTATTATCTATTTTCATTATTAAAATTCGTGTTTGTTATAGTGTGCCAACCTCAATAGTAAATAGTAAGATAAAAATGTTTTGCTATCCTGTTGTTTTAGTGAGCTTATTAAAATGATTAACATACCATTTCCCTGGGTTTTATCCTGACTCGAACATTTAAATAATAAAAGCAAATCCAGGTGAACCGAGGTTCTGGAATTATGTGTATAATCCCCAGAATAACCAATTGATTAAAGTGTGGATTTCATTTCAATTAATTGTAATAACTTAATAAAAGTTAAAAGGAATGATTATTGAAGAAATTCACTGTATGTTTTTGCTATAAAAACAATAAACTTGATTTCAACAAATAGCCCACCTTGTAATGCCTAAACCTCCACATCTTATCAGTCAAGGTTTATTTCTGTAATCAAGTCCTCCCTTTAAGGAAAACCAAATTTAAACATCTCGCAACATTAAAGTTAGGGTGGTTAAACAATAAAAAACTAACCAAAGGAATAACAATCTGCTGAATTTACTAGCTCTCAGAAGTGAATTGGATTATTTACAGATGATAAATATATTAGATTTCTAAGAGAAATATTCGATGAAAGATTGTCCAAGTAAATGTAGTCATAATAGTCTTATTCAAAAGTGTATATACAACCGGGATTCAGCGGTTTGCATTTTCAAGTGAAATCAGCTTGTGATGATGTATGATCACCATTCGCTCTCATCGGTACTGTCCGTCTTACTTCTGATATGGCTGAACTCTACTAATTAGAAATTCCCACTAGCTTTTATGGCTTTCTTAGCTAAGGTAGGTTTATGTTGTAAACCACAATATGAACAATCTAAACAAACCTGTTTTATTGGTTCTCTGTATGAATAAGAAATTAATCACAGTATTTTAGTTAAATAAATTTAGATTACGAAAATTAGGAGGAGAATTGTGCTTTTATTGAACTTTTTTAGTTTATAATGGAGCTGAATATTGATATAATGTCCCTGAAGCTGGTCAAGACAAAAAAGGGCACTCAGAGATGTGGTTTATTAATCTATATGTATATAGGACTTTGAGACCGACCATCTTCAGCAGAATTATACTAGAAAATTAAAATACTAGGAATAACCAAGTCAAACGGGATTTCTGGACTGTTTACTCTAGACTAATATTGAAGAGTTCGAATCCATGACAACAAATCTGACTAGCTGTGCTACGAGATGTTGACAAGTGCTGAAATATAAATTCATAGATTATCGGTTAGTGCTACTTGCAACACAATCTAAACAAAAGTATTTAAAACTGAAATAAATTCAATGAATTAGATTGTTCCTCACAAATGCCTTTTTTGTTAAGCAGTTTCATTTAGATGTGAGTTTAATGTTTTTTCTAATTTACATGCTCCTTTAAAGGAAACGAATTACATACATTTGCTTCCAGTGCAAAGTATAGATAACGTCTTATATTTGAAATATTGGGATGAAATCCGTCTTCTTAATACGTTATCTGCAGAAAAGGTATTGATGTCAACAATCAGCATACATATAGTCAAGCAATATGAAGTAGGAAGTGGATTGGTTGAAGTTAGACATTAGTAATGTTGGATGCCGGCTCAGTGGTCTAGGAGTTAGGCGTTCGCGCACAAGAACGTAGATCTTGAGTTGAAATCCGGTGTGCGGGATTGTGAATGAACACTGCTGAACAGTCCCATACTAGGACGAGACGGCCGTCCAGTACTAACAGGTATTCAGTGGTGGTCTGACATTTATTGATTCATGTTCTCAGTCAAAACTCAACAATCGCCACAATCCTATGATGATGGTGATTAAATAATTCCAACTAACGCTGGAAACTATTTGAAAAAGAATCCCCATTAATAAAATCCAAAATAAATATTCTGTGATCAAGTCTTTGGAGTACTGAGGAAAACAACTCTAAGGCCTACGGTTAACTTTATCTAGTGAACTAATCAAATATTAATTATAGCTAGATAATGACAAACTATGTAGTCAATTTGGTTGTACCTTTAATATTTAATTCAATCAGTTCAAACTATTGGATTTATTTAAAACTATTAGTTTGATAAGACTGAAATAGTTGACTGATATTTATGACACATATATGTGGTTCTTTCTGCCCTTGATAATTATGCTTTACTTATCTACCTCATTATATTTAATAAATAAGGGTCAAATGCTTCAGAGGCTCAACCAACAAAACCGGATCATCAAACAGATAAAATTACAAGAAAGCAAGATAAAGGATGGTTTAAAAATCGAATATGTTCTTCACCAACAAAACCAGAAGAATTGAGTCCCAGTTCAAAAGACACTCTATTGGCTGCAACAGTAAGATATGCTCGCCGTTTATCAAATGCATCTGTATCAAAATTCAATCTATCAATTAACTCTTCACCGCGCAATTCTGAATGTCGTGATGTATCTACGGACACTTTAAACAACCACAGACACCCTCAACATTTAAATAATCGATTGGATGCTAATGGAAACAAACGACCTACAAGTAAATGAGTTTAGAAAAAAATTCGTTTTCTTTTATCTCAGTGCAAAAACTAACTAGATCTAATTGTCTGACTGTATGACAAAATCCATAACAGTCCACACTTACTATGTAATAACTTGCAATAATGCATGCATATCACTGTACCGATAACGTATTATAAAGATGTTACAAGTGTTTAGATATACTCTATATGGAGGTTGTAATGAATAGGGTATTTTTTATAATTTACAAAGTAACCAAGATGTGTGCAATATGTTTAGTTATATCTTGGGGAAAATTGAAATACAATAATGTCATATGTTTTCAAGTGAAACTTAAAATTCCTGCTTTAGCTTTGGTTTTATTTGATTTAAAGAATCTTATTATACAAGTCATCATAAGTCATGGCCCTTATTTTGAACAGTTTTAATTCACTTGATGCCACATTCCAAATATTTCATTAAAGAATAGCATATTATGTTAATAAAAACTTGCAAACCATACCTTATTTCATTTCATAATGATAATAAAAGGGTTAAAAATTTTTAACCATTGTTTTTCTTCTAGCCACTTATTTCGTAAAAGATACTCACAATTCTCTTAATGACTAGACTGAAAGTTATTGTGTCATTTATATTCATAAAACTTTAAAATTTTCTTGATCAACAGTGAGCTACGACAATATTTCATAGTTAATTTTAATGAGACATGTTGGATCTTTATTGATTTTAGTCTAACCTTCAACTCAGCGAACAATTCATTACTAATTATTGCACTGTTAACTACTCCATGTAAAAGTTTTTAGTGATTTATTTTTACTATTCCCTTCTTAAATCAGGTATTTATGAAGAGAAAGAACAAAATTGTAATGATTTCATTACAAAAACTTCATCTTTACCTATGAAAAAAGAATTGAAGCAGAATAATAACAACAGTAATCGTAAATCATCCAAGCCTCAAAATCCTAAACAAACAAAAGATAAAGATTTAAATAGTCATACCTCAAAAAGACAATCACGTAAATCTACAGAAAGTGGACATAAACGGAGTCCTACTTCTAGTTGTGGTCATTGTTCATGTAGTAGTGGCAGTCGTAGTGAGAAAGGCTCACCTACACATGAAGCCCCTCAACACCAAACTGGACAAACAAAGTTAAGTTACTTCCGTGACGGCATACAAAAATTGAGAAATAAATTTGCAAGCGAAAAACAAAAGTCATTTGAAAATTATGTACCGCGCTTTCATTCGAATAGCATTAGTAAATTAAGAAATTCATGGAGTGAAAGTGAATCAAGTAGCAAATCAACTGATTCACTGTCCAATAACAGCATTTCAACAGATTCATCGCCGACTGTAGAAACTTCATTATCATCAGATACAGAATCTTATAGAAGTAAAAGTAGCACCGATAACAGCATCAGCAGTAGTTCATCGGAGAACATAGTGAATAAATCGAAAAGTATGGAATCACCGATTACAACCAATGTCAAGACACGTTTTCAAACACGTCTATCAAGTGTTCGTCATTCAATTACATCACTAAGCACTGCCATATTCCATCAAGATAAAAATTCTGGCCGCAATATTTTACAAAAACAAGCAACTATTGAAAGTCAAGAAAGTGGTTTAAGGTCTACAAAAAATTATTGGACAGATTCATTAAGATGGTTTATTGGATCAAGAATTACAAATATTTCATCAGATGATTTGATTTATTTACTATCTAGAAAGCAGATGACAAAATCACTAGCAAGGTATAATTTCCTGATGTATTTATTGTCCGGTTATTTTGTGTATATCCATATTTCTTAGATCAATCATATATGAGTGTACATTTGTAAAGATATTTTAAGGGTGACTAAACAAATGTTTACCACTACCTAGTTTCTATTATCCTACAGATTATGTCAGTTCCCAAGAACAACCAAGGAATCTCTGTGAAAGACCTTTGTATATACTCCCAAGTCATATTAAATTTTCCAGATTTCTTTTGCTTTTAATGAAAAACTTTTAACCAGTTAACTAATAAATACAAAAATTAATTTTTATGCAAAATAGTAGTAATGACTAGTTAAAATTTTACTTATTATTTTCCATTATTTCTATTTTTATTTTCACTGATATCTTTTTACATTTCACCTTAGATACAATAAAGAACGTTTAACCTGTGTTTTCTTGTCGGATCAAGAAAAGTCATGGGATGTTCATCAAGTAAGTCCAAATTTCATGGCTTTCAGTTACTGGTTTACGTATTTTAATACCTCTTTACTTCCAACAATATAGGCAGCCGACCAGTATATCTAGCTTTTTTATGCCTACTGATTTTTGTTGATAAGCTAATTCGTTGCCAGGGTTACCAAATTTTCCTCTCTGATCAGCCTATCAATTTTTATGCAAGTTAGATAAGAACTCATGACATCAGTAGGTTTAGTAGCATGACTTCTGCATTATCTATTTGATTCATAATGAAGATGAAATAATGGAACCTTCCAAGAAGTATATAAGCTGTTTAACCAAAGTTCAGTACTTCAGATTATCGTCGAACATGAATATCGTTTTAATATCCGTAATTAGTTGGGGGACAACATTATTTTCAAAAAGTGTACGAAAACCTCCAATAAGATAATATGGACAAACTGAACCTTAACTGAGACTCAAAAATTTCTAAAGTTGTTTCAATTATTAAAGTGTCACTGTCTGCCTTTTCCAGCGTCATATTAGGCTGTCACTAGGTTATCTTTCAGCCTGTGGAACAGTACGTACGGGTTTCTCGACAAAAGTCAACTGATTTCACCGGTGTTGTGAAATTCTGTGAAAAGTAAGTCAGCCTATGAACCATATCACCAGAAAACACATTATAAAACATTGTAACCCCCGTTCCTAAGTCATGATATTGCCGAATGTAGTTTCAGTTTACTGTGAGAATAAACTATAGCTTGGTTAGTTTATGGATAGCTGTCTAACTGACTAACTTTATCGCATTGTTTGAGTTTACACTGTTGATATGGTGGAGCAGATTTGTAGTTCGGGTGTGGTTTTGTTGTCTGGGCTAGATGATTAAGGAGCTTTCATTGTTCTTATGAACAACATCTGCAAAAACTTCAGGTAGAAGTGAAGTGTTTGAATTTCTCGACATATAACTCACAGTTTATTCTGTCAACCTCAATATTGATTGGTTATTATTAACCCTTACAATGTCATTATCTACCAGCTTATTTGTAGATATCAACATCAAGGTTGGACTTGATAGTTTCAAATAAATTGAGCATTTGGTAAAAAATTAATTATATATTTATTGTGATACCCCAATGAGTAAAAAATTGTAGTTCAGACATTTTGTGACTTCATGCAAGTCACGTCTTCAGAGCAAATAAATAACCGAAATCAAATTAACACAAGTTTAAATAGTAAAAAAACAAAGCAGAATATTTTTAGTCCACTCAAAATCATAATAGGTTTGAACATGCAAATGTCAAGTTATTTTGGTACTGTTTAAACTTGTATTAATTTTATTTCCGTTATTTATTTACTCTGAAGAAGTGGTTTATATCATGTCACGAAACATCAGGGATACAATTTTTTAGTTATTGAAATATCATAAAAACATATTTATTATTACCTCTTTATTTGGAATGTATCTTCCTCTGATCTGAGTTTACACTGTGTTCACTATGCTCATTACAATGCATTTATATTTAATGACAAGTGGTTAAAACGAATCAGCAAAAATAATAGGTTGGCTAGTTGTGGGCTTAGCATCACTTATTATAAAACTCATACCAGACCTTAAATGGCTTTGCTTAATGTCACTGCTAATTCAGAACAATGAGGAGTCAGTTAGACATTTTCACTCTACGTAAGACGTTGATGAACAATTTTTTTTACTGAGCATCATAGATACACCCAATTTTAATCAAATTGTTTTAGAGCTCTGTAATCCACGAAAATTCGAATGCTGTCGTGTTGTCAATAGATGTAACCGTTTTTCACCTGCAATGTATCTGAAAGCTTCCAAGTATACGATTGAGGTGAACAGTTTATCTGTGATCTTGGTAGAACTCAGACTGCTCTTCGTTAGCCGGTTTATAGTATGCTATACATAATCTGCACAGTGTGACAGGGGAATGCACTTTAGACTCAGCTAGTAGAGTACTTAAACACTGATAATTGTCACATACATATAGCTGAGGCGAAACATGACAATGTTCTTAGTCCATTTTGTCGTATTTTCTCGAACAACCCAGTCTGCTCAGAAGATCGTACATATTCATTACTAAATCATCTATACCGTGTGTTGTATGGGGTCCCAACATTTGATGTTTCATCCAAACCTTTGGCTCGGCATGGGATTAAGTGTCGTCTAGTTACTTAGAACATAAAAATTTGTTCAAAATTCTTGGAGTGGTCTATTTGGAAGCCTGGAGGTATCTGAAAATTGTCGATAATAACGCTGGTAATCTTTAAATTTTTCCTTGCTTTGCCGATGACTAAAACAAGCTGAAACAGTTTTTGGTAATCACTAAATATGGCCGGTCCCTGTATTCCTATTCTGATTTCTAACTGTCAAGTTATTTAGTCTGTACATAAGTAAACTGGTGGAAAAAAATTAAATTCTAAAAGATCAACTGAAACCAGTATTTCCTATTAAAATGCTTTTTGTAATTAAAATCAACACATCACTAAGCCACAGATTTATGATGTGTCTTCTGAATAATCACTGCATAATAACAACCGTATGGCTGATGTATTGTACTAAATTAACCACTAGAACTAATGAATAAATTTCTGGATTTTAGAAAACAGGTATTGGCTTTTAGTAGAACTAAACTCAAAACATTTTATTGCCCAAATTATTCATATGCCTAAATATTGATCTATTCTTTCTTAATGCTCGTTACCTTCAAACCAGCTTTTCCGTTCTGTTGGGTGTCAACTAATCCCATATGGACTGGATATCTCAGTAGCCACATTTGACTTGGAAAAACCAGTTAGCGTTCGCCAACAATTTATGAAACTTAATCAAATGGACGAATTACGAAACAGTTTTGCTATGTCTGAAAATGGGTGAGAATATTTTTAAATTGTTTTATTACTTACAAAAACTTAGTATCCGAAACTAAAGCTTTGATATTAATGTCATTTACGTAATTTCCAAATAACACTCAAATCTGATGCCCGAACCCGATAAAAGACATACAAACCAACTTATCTCTTTGTAGGATTTTTTTTGTTTAACCAGGATAAATTGAGAAAATCAGTCTGTGAGGCCCAAGATTAATTGCTATTAATTCTGACATTGAAATCTTCTTGTTGCATTCAGCATATCATAAAACGATAACACATTAAAAAATAGTAACCGAGAGACTAACTTGCCCTAACAGTCATTTCTAGTGCATTGTTAGTGAAGGATAGTACTTAAATCTTATGTTATGTCAGACAAATAATAAAATGAAATATTACTAAATAAACTACAAACTGATATTAATAGAATTTTTGTGTTTGCTTGCAGGTACATTCTAAAACCTGCTTTACTGAGAATACCGACTATAAATCGCTATCATCGTAAATTAATTACCAGACGTAAATATCAGAAATTATTTCCAAAATCTGATCCCAATTCAAATAATATGAAAAATCAACGTAGCAATTATTTAAGATGTGCTTGCTGTTATGATCCATTGGATATAAGTTCAGAATGTGAATTAATTGGTAAAATTTATGATGGAATAACAAATTTGAACTGGCCAATAGCTTCAAGTCACGAAGCTAACTTTTACCTACCATGGAATTATACTTTGCAATTGGTCAACTTTATGAAAACTTACAGTTTGCATCCTGAAAGGTCACTGTTAAACAATCAAGAAAACATGGAAACTCAGTCTTATCAATATAATTCCGTGAAACCAAATAAACTGCCTAAACGGTACCGACGTGCAGCTAATGCGACAAACACAACGCCAAGACGTCAAAGACATGCAAGTGCCAGTAGACCAGCAGCAGTATGTAATGCTGCCAGTTTCAAAAATCGTCAATCAACTCCTACGAAAACTAATTCTTGGGGTTCGACTCAAGTTAGACACCAAAGTCAAGAAAATATGAATTTGAAGAACAGGAATATTGATTTTCACGAGCGACGTCGACTAAATTCATCAAAGAGAGACTCTGAAAACATAATAATTGAGGTAAGCTGTTATGTAATGCTTGAGATTTTCACATTGCAATTCAATATACATTGGTATAAATAGATAATCGGTTACTTTCTTGACACTAATGCTTTTCGGACAGATATGTAAAAGTGTATGCACAATTTTATTGCGAACAAAACACATTTTTTCATTAAATAACTTCCGCTCACTTCACATAATGTTGAAATACTCTTCTGAGTAAAATAATGACGTGAATTATGTTTCTCAAGCAATTTTCAGATCTTTACTTTTAATCTTAATGTTATCTGATATAAAACTGGTGTGGAAGTAAAATCATATACCGTAATATAAGTTACAAAGCTAGAGATTTATTTGCCGGCTATACTAATAAGAACACAAGTCTAAATATTCAGGATTCATAATAGATACTGTATATGGAACAAAGAGATGGAGAGAATTAAAAATATTTACTTCATAGTCTAATGGCACTTAAAACCACTGCACGTTCTTGGAAACTACATGTTACTTAAATGATGACCAGTTTTCTTCACCTATGACGTCGAAAAACATAAGTAGAAAAACCATTATGATCAAACTCGTACACAAAATTGATCGCATTCTGACATGTTCTTACTTACTATCAGAGGCCTGTGAGATTTGTGTATTAAGACTATATTACTCATGAGTAACTCGTCTTTTATCGTATAACTTCCTCTCGTATCTCGTTTCCAATTGAATGGTAAAAAGAACCAGATCTGTAAAATTGATATGCTCAAAACTTCGACTTGAGTCCCGAAGTGAATATCAGGCACTTCATCTTTACTTGTAATGATCATTCCATCACCATTATGGATAACAGAAAGCCTATATGATTGAACATAGTTCTAATTACAGAACCAAATACTCATAGATAAGATCAATGAAGGGATGATGAAAAGAGCACTATCCAGAACCCGACAAATTTAACAAGATATTCATCTTATACTCATGCGTTAAACGGTCGCAATATCGTGAGCTGATAATTACTATTGGACATGGAAAAAGTATGTATCTTAGTAAATTGGAATTTTTGTTTTCTATTTTTCTGGTCATAAATATAGCGGCAAATAACTGTATTACATGCTGATATAATAATATCAACATCAGTAAGAATCTAACAGTTTTTCTTACATACGTATAACACTAAGTAACACTAATGACAGCTTCATGTCTCTTTATTCATAATATATTGATATCTACCTACCAACTATTCGCTGTACATTCTAATATTTGAAACAAAAATCTGCAATCATAAGCTTGTCTAATAAAACAGTTCTGTAAAATGTGCTGTATGATGCAAATAATGTATAAGTCTTCTTAAAATTAAAACGACTTGATCAGAGACTACGAAACAAAAGAAATGGTTCCTAATATCATGTGAACTAAACCCCGAATGCACATGTTGACAAGTATGACTGTTAAAAATACTCTTAGTAAACTGCAACTACCATCGTAAACGTTCAGTATTATTTTGAAATTTCAGGCTGAAATCAAAGCGCCACTTTTCAAATTTTCACATCTTACTACAAACATATCAAAACGCTTTTGCCAAGTTCCAGAAGAGCACAACATAGTACGCTATCGTCTTTACTCAAACAATCCATTATTTCTTACAGATGTAACTGCAAATAACCAGTATACTCTAAGAAAATCTAAAACACTATCAAGATCTTCTTACGTACTCTCATCTATGTTAAATGACAAAGAAAGGATTCCCATGTTCTCAAGCTTCAATTCAATGTCAAGAATTAGTTCTGAACTTATGCTAGATTGGCTATCTACGCGTAAAGTTACATTTTCCCGTATTCATTTGCCTGAATCAATTTGTATTACAATAAATATGGGGAGTCACAGAAAAAAGAGTGACAATGATATTAAATCATACGAAAATATGGAAAACGTTATTGCGTCGTGTATAATAAATTCAAATAGTCCACTAAATAAAGCATTAACAGGTTTTCAACATTTTCAACTTAAATTAGTCGATCAGTCTAGGACAAAAATAATTCCCCGAGAGGAAAAGGATGACGTTACAGAATTTGATCACAGTGTCTTTCACCAACACTTGAAAGCTACCATAGGTTTGCTGATATTTTGCAAGGTAAGCTTCATTTACCTAATTCACACAATAGACATTGGCGTTTATCATAGTTAGACAACCATTGAAAACCTACTAGTACTAAATATTTTTCCTTCACTTTTTAAAAACGAAGTGTTTGTGAAACATCTTATGATTACATTTTTGAGTGGTCTCCCAGAAAAAAGCACCCACTTATTACTCCTTAATCTTGAATTACTTTTTGCCAAAAATCGTTTATGAATCCCCCCTAAATCAAAATTTATTCAGATATCCTCATAAATATCTTACCATATGAGATTCTTATTGAGAAGTGTACTGATTTTCCACCAACCTTTAAATGAATCGATAACAAAGAAAAGACAGCTCTGTCATGAGACTCGTTAATAATGACAACTATGCAGAATTTCAAATTCATGAACGATTTTAAGCTGTTATGAAGTCCCGATATTTTCCCATTTCACTTAAACACGTTTACTAATTTAGCGTGGGGATAATGTGAGTCTCTGATTTAACGGTTTCAGGATTAAACTTTTGAGACCCACTTTGCATGCTTTAGTTGGAACAAACGCAGTGTCCGACCCCCATACAATAACAGTAATTCGAAGCTTGATTAGAACGGTTCCACTGTCACTGGATTGTATAATAGCATATATATAAGATGATTGGTTAAAGACTACTGTGTAAAATGAGCCTCTGTAGGTTATTTGACTTTATTATGTTATGAGACAGAAAAGATGACCATAGACTTTTATTTATATCCTAAAACAGTGACTAGGGATAGTGATTTAAGGAATATAATTTTTCCAGTATGTAGTGGGATTTAAGATTGACATTTCTACGAAGTTGGGATTTGTAGTACAGAGGTAATCGGATCAAGTAGGATATTGATGTAGGCACTGCTGTTTGAACAAACTACTCACCTATCCAAACAACTATATATATAATTGTAGAACTTGAAGAGAATTTATCGAAAAGAATATTCTTCGTTCAAATATTAGTCTTTTAACTATAAAATTATAAATCCATATTCCGAAGTTGACCAAATCGCAACTCTGCGGATCATTGTGGGACAATCAATTGAATGGAATTCATCACTCGACATCAACTTCATTGACTACGAAAGATCATTTGACAGCGTGGACAGAACAACGCTATGGAAGCTTCTTCGACACTACTGAGTGCCTCAGAAGATAGTCAATATCATACAGGATTCCTATGATAGATTAAACTGCAAAATTGTGCATGGAGGACAGTTGACAAACTCCTTCGAAGTAAAGGCCGGTGTCAGGCAATGTTGCTTACTCTCACCGGTTCTCTTTCCCCTGGTGACCGACTGGATCATGAAGACGTCAACATCTGAACAGAGGCATGAAATACAGTGGACATCTAGGATGTAGTTGGCCGATCTAGACTTCGCAGATCATCTGGCTCTTCTGTCGCAAACGCAACGACAAATGCAGGAGAAGACGACCAGAGTAGCAGCAGCCTCAGCAGCAGTAGGTCTCAATATACATAAAGAGAAAAGCAAGATTCTCCGATACAACACAGCATGCACCAAGCCAATTTACCACTCTACATCAACTTCATTGACTACGAAAATTTATTTGATAGCGAGAAGCAATACTAACCTTTCATAGCGTCTAACGTAACATCAATCCGCGGAAGTGGGAGTCACGCTTTGTTATAGCATTAAAGTGACGATAATCTATACGTAATCGGAGAGAGGAGTCTTTCTCCTTCACTAGAACTATGGGAGAAGCCCAAGGTGATGAAGATGGTACAATAGTCTTTTTCTCTAGCATCTCTTTTATCATTGATTCTAACTGAGACTGACAGTGTACTGGTACTCTGCGAGGTGGTTGACGTAATGTCATGTGGTCACCCGTGAGAATGGAGTGTTGTACAGTGGTCGTCCGATTTCCAGAGACATTCTCCAAGAAAACAGAACTAAGTTGTTGGAGTAGGGAAACAGTTGACAGACGAACGCTCTCCGTTATTTACTCATTAGTTTGTACTTGATGTATGACTTCAGACACTCCTACATGAGCTACCGATTTAATTACGTCCTTCGGACGATGTGTCGGTATGGTCACTTCCCCGATTTGTGCTACCGCCTCAGCCACATGTATGGCGACTTTGTGTTTCAACATGAAGTCAACTCCTAGTATTACATCCCAGGTGAGTGTGGGGCATACTAAAAATTCGTGTGGGAACGAGTGTTTGTTCACTGTTACATCTAACCCCACCTTCAAGTGCGCTTCTATAAGGTCACCGCCAGCTGTTTTCAGCGCCGAGGAACACGGTAGTCGCCGGTTCTCATGATTCAGTGTGCGTAGAAACCCTTCTTTCACAATAGATACTGAGGTTCCTGTATCCAGTAGAATAGTGGTTTCTGCCCCCTGCAAACTACCCGTTATTGTTATAGGATGTACGGATTTAGAATAATATGAAGAAAAATGACATACACTATTCTCGCCTTGCTTCCATAATTTATTATGCCCACATTTCCGGGCTCTTTGACCGAAGCGTTGGCAGTAAAAACATTCAGACTTTCGATTCTGCTGACTGACTCGTAATTGTTGTATAGCGGGTCGATACTTGACCGCGGAAATGGTTTGTGCGGAATCACATTGATACGCTGCTCTCGACTCTTCGATAGCCATTGCTGTCGAATAGGTTTCAGTTGCAGTGCTTGATGACTTCTTAGCGGCCGTTAGACGAAGGATTGTGGTTTTTAGGTCCTGCATACTGTTAAGTGGCATGCATAACAGGTGCTGTCGCAGTGCACCCGGCAAAACCCCTCTACAAATCGTGAGTGTACTAGTTCTCGGATGAAGTCTAGGCTAGGGAATGTTTGGATTGCTGTTTGCTGTAAGGAGTGAAGGTAGTCGACGGGTTCTCCACTTATCGTCTGGCGCCGAGACAAAAACTGGACAGTCGTCAGCTGATTGTCCACCATTAGAGGTTGCCGTGAAGTATACTCGTCCTTTTATTGACAGACGGATATGTCGTCTTAGCCACAGGTGACCTAAGTTGGTGAAAGCCAAACGAGCTTTTCGAATCCGTGCTGAGATTTCATCAGACACCAAGCCACTAGGGCTGATCAGACTTCCAAGACAAGTTAAGTTGTCAACGCGTTCGACTACTCCACTCACTATCCTTAGTTCAGGTGTTGCACCCGTCGTTCCAAACGTCTGGACTGGGAGATGAGTGTCGTTCTTTTAAGAAATAGTCTCACACTTGACTTATTAGTTCCAGTTTTTTTTATTAGCCTGTAGAGCTGCCTTGTATTCCCTATAGCCGCCACCTCCTACGAGTACTATGTCTGAACGTTTAGCTTACTGAAGAAGTTCAGAGAGCTTTCTGTAAAATTCATCTTTCACTTCATCCAAGCTGCAGTCAGTAGTAGCGTAGGCAGAAACGACAAAAAGGCAACGACGTGTGTCCCTATCCTTCCGAGTTCTTACGGATCCGTTTAGCCGGGCAGCACATAAACAACTGTTAACGGGGATCCACTCTAACAGCCAGTATAGCTCGGTTGCTTTATCACAATAGGCAAACCCGACCACCACGTCAAGGTAGCAACAACGGCCGGGATAGGACACACATTGAGGAAAGCACCCAACTGCGTCACAAGACAAGCCCTCGCATAGAATCCTCAAGGCCAGAAGAGAAGAGGAAGACCATAGAATACATTACGCCAAAATGGAGACAGACATGATAAAAATAAACAAGAACTGGATGGAACTAGAAAATAAGGCCCAGGACAGTGGGTTGGAGAATGCTGGTCGGCGGCCTATGCTCCATTGGGAGTGACAGACGTAAGTAGGTAATATTCCGAAATTAATTTCTGATAGTTAATTCACATGGCCGAAATATTTTTGGAAGAAAAAGCACCAATATTTTCGTGTTGAGATGAGCTTTATGAAACTAGCTAGTAATGTGAGTCTTCATTCCTAAAACTGTTCATCTAATAAGTTAACAAGTTATATTCTTTGTTTATTCATACATTGAACTGTACTTTAAACGCCTTTGTTGTATCATATTTAGTTTTCCATTTATTTGATATCCGTTTTCAGATAAACATGGATACTTACGTACCGCATTCATTGGGTGATTTGATTGAAACACTAACCAAAAAATATGATACTCGTTTGAGAAGTATACCTTCTAACCAACAAACAAATGATAAACAGTATAATGCTAACCGTTCAAAAAGTTATCTGTATTTAGATCGACACCAAAGTATTAAGGAAGTATCTACGTTAAAACAGTCAATAATCCGTTCAAATTCTTTTACCTATAGGGAATATGGTAAAGACCTACAACAAAATGCCATTTGAGTGAATATGTGAGGATTATTTTAACATTAATAAAAAGAGAAATTTTATTGATACCAATAGTGTAATGATAATCGTACAAGTGTTATTAATTCTGATTGGAATAGATGGTGTATTTTTCTTAAAGAACCTATCAAATAATCTTTACTTGATTTTAAAATATATGAACACTCCATCTGTACAATCCAAGAAGATGTAGACTCACTTTGTAACACATGATAAATTGGTTATTGTAGTAGTCAAACAATTACGTTCTTTGTGCAAAATATACTTTATTTTACAAATCCTTGTATGCTTTTAACTAACAGAAAATATTTACAAGCCATACGAAAACGTACTGATGACGAGTTCATTTACTTCATGGATATACTCCTCAGGTAGTAAATATTTTACTAATTAGGCGTTAAAATAAACCACTTGTTAACATTTTTATGTAAACTCTTACCTTTCGAATGGAATTAATATAAAAATTCTTGATTAAATTTGTTGATAACTTAACGATTAAGAATGGAAAAGATGGAGCTAGTTTGCACTCGCCATTTAATTGGCGAAATTAGAATGTCCAAATATAAATTACAACTAACGAAATAAAGCCTCATTTACAAATGAACATAAAGAAGCTTGAGATAGGTACTACACATCAAGTAAATGGTAGTCTGTATGAATACTTCTAAAGTAAACTGTAATATTGTTTACACGGTAAATCTATATTAAAATTAATCCACTTTGTATATATCGTTTATATTCATGGTGTTGTATCCAACTAGCCACTAATTTAAACGATACAGTGCAACAAAAAAATGGATTTAAGTATTTGGATGTTCAATAAACAGATAGCTTATTGAAAAGAAAAAAAACTAACATCTACTTTTCCATTATTCAAGATAAAAATGTACTCATTATTGTAGGAAGCATACATTCTATAAAGGTCTTATAGTTCGACATACAAAATCAAAACCGAGTCATTGAGGTTCTAGCAGCTGGCTTTTAAGCACTAAAAAACCTAATATGTATCATTCCACATCAGACGCCCGGGGGGAAATAATTCCCTATCTGAGTAAAATGGGTTCCCCTCTCAAGTACAGATTATTTACTTGACACATTCCGAGTGATCGAATCTTACGCCAGTCTACATAAGATGTGATAAAAACCTTTCCCATTAGCACATATTGCATATTTAAGACGAACTACTCACTAAATGCTAAGTATTTCGTGAAATTATTGGATACAGTCAGTTCTATGTCCGGTGAAAAAGACGCTACACAAAGATGAAAAAAGCAACTATCTGAATAAATACACAAACTAATGTAAGACAAATGACTGCATAATTATGTAACTTAACACTACAGTCTATATTTAAAGATGATTTACCGAAAAACTAAATAAAATCATTGACGAAGAAAAAGCCGTATCCTAGTAAGCTTTGCGGCTCATTGAACTGGGACATTATCTTCATAGTAGTGAGACCCATTGCCTTGATAATGTAGAAATCTGTCTACATTACCTGTATTCTTCAACTACATAGTATACATATCTTGAGAATCCTATTTAGGAACTCCATATTTTACTAGACGGAATACACCAACAGTCAACTATTTGACCATACGAGAATGAAGTCACAAAGATAATAAGCATAAGTACACACAGATAACGAATCAATAGTGGCGATAAACCTCCTAATATAAACGATGTAATTAACATGACCAACTACTCCAATAATTATAGTTAGACTGAGCATGGTTGTAGACCAGTCCTGAAGAAAGAGTCTACGCTCGGAGAGAAACTCATTCAGAACATTAGTGCCGTTATTTGAAATGTTTTGAACCCCACATTTTTAGTCTTTACATGAGATGGAGCTATAACATTCGCGTACCCTAAGTTTATTTCTCCAGATACAACGTCGACTAACAGAAAGTTCGCCAGCTATTTTTACACAACCATGACGAAGCTTAGAAATGTGGAAAGCGGACAAGCCTGACAGACACCTATGGGGTAACCAATCTACTTGATAGTTCGCCATGAAATACAATCCAACCACAGGTATCCAAGTAAAGACCTTTTACTTGGATGTAATAATTTGTGAAACCTTCAATAAGACACTATCAAAGACCTTTCAATATATACGGTCAAACCCAGCCACCAGGTTAAGGGATACCACTAGAACCATATGTTTGTGAGTATCCTTATTTCCCAAAGTGAGCAATATAGAGATGCATTTGGCACAAGGTTGAACCATTAGTACTGGTTGCATATTTGAACGACGAAATGAGGGAAGGCTGGTAAGAGGAATCTGTAGAGAAACAGGACTAATGGTAACAGAAATAAAGTTGATTTTGTAAGTATAATCATATCGTAGCAGAGTATCTTGTTGGTATGTAGGTACAGATTACCTGGTTGGGATGCACATGTTTATGGTAACCAATGGTTAGACTTCCGTTCGTTTTATTTGTTTATTTAAATACAAACATTGGTACAAGAAGGTACCAAATATATATGCGTCACACTTCGTCCTTCGATTTGTGTGAGGGCCGCAATACTATCTGAATGCCCAAACTGACGCAGATGGTTTCCTTAGGAGGTCACTCCCCGAAAGTTTGACATAAAGATTTAATCCATAAACCAGTGGAACAACGTGAGGAGATACAATCCCATGGTAGCCGGTGACCAACGACAGGTTCATACGCCATTCGTTCCCTCAGGATTCTGGATACATTCGTAATGACCCAAGTGCATGAACTCTACCCTTAGACCCTAAGCTTTTAAATAATCTTATGGTCATTATACGTACAAATCCATATTATCACGAACAGTATTTTTGATGTCCATCTTTTTATATTATCACTGATACTGGTAATACTTTTACTACTCTGGGATTTTTTCTGACAATTTCATCTCGCTGTGCTAACTGGACGTGACAACCTGAAAGGTTTTATGTGCCAGGTTCTGCGTTGCGTAGGATACATGAGATACCTTCTCTTGGGAAACCTCCAAAAAGAACTGGCAGCGTAATAATATATCCTGATGATTAATTACTTGGGGCTGATTGCTCAAGGCTGACCTCTAAATAAACTTTCACCAATAGTTTCTCAATGTTCCTTAAGTAGCTGTAAACTTTGTTGGTGAGAAAATCTATAAGGTGTTGGAGTAGAAAGATAGAAACGTCGGTTATTTACAGGAAATATTCTAGCGTCGTCATACCGATGCAATTCTGGCTTTCTCTTTTGGATTATTTTAGCTGGCTTGCATAGTATATCAAGGCCTCAGTTAACAAATATTTTAGTCAACAACTCAGTAGCCTTCATGATAGATAAACTATAATGCCAAGTCACATTAACGACTGCTGACAAATATAGGTAATCCGGATGGCATTCGAAAAACTTGTTATTCATATTAGTAAACTAAATATTCTCTAGAAATTTGAATAAGTCTTTGATGCTTCCTCGTGAAAATAAAACAAAGTTACGAAACTTCTTTATTTTGCTTATGAACCAATACGACTGTAAAATGTTGTTTCGCAAACAAAATATTGGGGTTCCTTACATTCATTCTGTTGAACGTTTTAGAACATCCCGCACATCCACTTCTTTTCATTGAAAGGATTATCTTTAACACGATGAATAAGGGGATCTGATAAGATATTTTGCTGACAATAATTAATTAGGTCTAAAACAGTACGGCTGAACTTTTGCCTTTCACAAGCACAATGGATCCTTAAATCTCGAACCTCTCGTCTTCTTACTTCAATTTCGTATTGCTTGCTTATAGGAGACATCATACAATCTAAGAAACTCCACACGAATTTAGATATAACGTAACTAGGGTTGTGATAACCTATGGAAAAAAGAAAACACATCATCAGTTATTTATATTTGTGCAAAAGTATCCAGCAATAATGATAAGTTAAAACTTTCCACCAAATAATATTTTGTCTATGGTTTCTGAAGTGAGTTGTCTAAGTGGGGAGACTATTTATAAATACAAGTGGACTATAAGAGTAATCTTTTAATGAGTTTGTTTTTGAACAAAAATTTTCTAAGAATTTCTGTCACACGTTATGCTCATAAAAAGATCGCATTGGTTGCTAAAATAGAATATAAACACTGAGTTGTACAATTGACCAGTTAGGAACTCAATATATGTACAGGTGTGTTAAGCATAACTTAAGACAAATAAAAACGCATAAAAATGCATAATTTAACAAGCATTTTAAGCCTATTTACAGTATTTTCAAATATAAAAAGTGAAAACATGTTAGCTTTGTAGTATGTTTAGGGGGTTGGGAGTTCTGGACTCATAATCAAAATAGAAAACAGATGGCGGTACTCAACATCATGAAATCAAAGCAACTAATGGCTACCAAAGTTTGGGGTGTTTGAGTTATTGAACAACAGGTCTTTTTTAATAGATGTGAGATGCACTCTTCTATAATCATTGAACCTTAATCAAGGATAGCAGCTTGATCTCTAGTTACTAACCCGTAGTGCCGTAAGTGAGCAATCTATTCGTATCCTATACTAAAGAAAAAGACCTAGAAACTGTAGGACTGATACAAATTTATGGGCAAATTTTCATTCTACGGTACAACCACGCCACCAGATTGACTTCATGGAGGTCACGCACTTTGCAGAAAGCCTAACCTAGTCACCAAAGTCTATAGAACACTACGCGGGCAGTTGTAAGACCCACTATTATACATAGCAGAACCATATATTACATGTTTACGTTACAGGTGTTTGATTATGAAGACAGTAGTCATGTTTCTGGCCACGTGGCTAGCACCACCGACCAAATACATTCCTTAAGATATCGAATTGGACAATTAAAGGCTCACGACGGTAATTAAGGCAACTGTAATTTGCTAAACAACTAGTAACGGTGGAACTACTTTAGTTTCAGTTTAATAACTTGAAACCCTCAGCTTAATTGTGTGCCTGAGAAATTACGTGGAAAGTGATTACATGGGTAATGTAAGAACTAGCAAAGCTCAATGCCTTTCGATCCAAGATGCATGAAACTCATGATTTCATGACGAAATACCGTTAACCTCCCGTCTTAGATTCACACTACGTCACTGGAATTGCTTGTCACCAACGGAAGTTATGTCAAAGGATTCAAAGTGACAATTTAAAACCAGCCTAGTTTTGCAGATTAAAATATCAGGCAACATCTCTGTGAAATATTTACACAAATGTTACTAAAACTGCCTAAATACAGTAAGGAAATCCCCAAGGTCTTTGCAAGTAGCGCAAAGACCAATTTCCCTCATATCCAATTTCTGGGTGAAGATAAACTTCCCTCTCATTCGCAATTCCTAGCTTGCATCTAGCCACCAGTCAGAACAAAGCAGGAATTTTTATCTACACTGTCGTAATCTATGATGGAGGACATGCTACGTTATCAGTCGTTTTGGTTGGCTCACATGGAAAATATTAGGTTTTCTATGATTAAAAGACCACATCATCATTCTGAGGATGAGTCAAGTGTAAGGCAGTCAGCCATGATAGAAGAAAAATTACCACATATCATAAGACATACCACCAGTTATTTACGTAAGAGTAATAATTCCAAAATATCTACAACGGGGTAGATAAAAAAATGAGAACATAACCGGAACTACTAACTACAATACACTTAAATAACTTGAAAACTTGGAGTTTATCCCCAGCTAGCTAGTAGCTACAAATCAGTTGATTTTCATATGTTTCATCAGTTTTTACTCCTTATCAACTAAAAAATATTTATGTTGCGCTTCTAATGTACTTTTGTTCTTTTTAGTCGTACTGTTTGCTTTTGACACTGTAGGATCAGTATGACATTACGGCGTTTGTCAGCTGACCAGGCAATGAGTTCACTGAATATCATGCAGTTGACGATTACCGTCAAAGTCATGTAGTACCGACAGGTATCAGCTAACTGCACACCACTGACTTGCCCTTGAGTCAGTGATCGAAGTCTATATCTTATACCCAGCATTACTAATATAATTCTGCAGTACCGCTGTTTGTGTTGTGCGATCATCAACATGACCATATTTTCTGAATATTACGCAGGAGTATTTCACCTTAAGTACTAGCTATACAATGTGATTTTGATGTAAACTGGTTGGTTATGTCATTCTCAATCAACTCGAATAGCCTCTCAGTCATCGACACGGATCGCGTAAGATGATGATCGACATAAAGATGCCACATGAATCAGGAGTTTGACAACGTCTCTACACGTAACACTTTCATAATCGAAGCATGCCAACCTAGTCAAATCACAAGTCAGAAATGAAAAAGTTCGGAGATTTATTGAAAAGGCTATCTATATTCTGAGGCGTTTTTGATCTAGGCTGGAGAACTGTTGCAAGGAGTGCGTAGCACATCGTAGCCATTCGTAATGTGGTGGGGATTTGTGATTGTGAACCTTAAGTTAGGTGCATTTATTAAAACTAGTGAGGTCAGTACTATGTGTCGAGGACTCGAAGTGTGGCATCGAGTCGCGTTTTATTATGATCACCACTACAGGAAGACTACGTGCCAGCTAACAGGTTAGACCCTTCCGTAGGCCAAATATCATAAAGCAGTTGACGGCTGTAGCCGAAATGTAATTGTTAGCGATCTTGCGACATCAAAATAATATCGGAATCGTGCCAAGGGGGAACAAGTGGAACAACTGAGCGGGCGAAAGCTCATTCAAGGTCACAAACAACGGAGGAATGTATTATTTTGGTACAGTTAAACAGACTAGTACAGCAAAACAATCAATGGTACAATTGGTTATAATAATAATTGTTTCCATTGTATCAATCGCGTTCTCTCGGTAAAGATAGGTTACTAAATACTAAGAGAACTATTTATTTTGATGTTTTACTTAACACTATACGTCTCTACCTATAATTAATCACCTCCTGCTTCTTCTGTCCCCTTGTTTGCAACTGTGTGGTTTTACGCTTTCGATTACCGTTAGTTGTATATCGTATTCTGCCGTAATCAAGTAGAGGACGTCATATATATATGATCAACAAAACTTCCAATTGCTTAATATTTTAGACCTGGGTAATTCATAATTTTTTTGCCTGTTACTGTCTGGAAATAAACACTAACAAAAGCCGTCATGTTCAATGTCTGTCCAGTAAACGAAATGATTCGATGATAACTGCCATGATCTGATGATATATTGGAAGAAAATCGAGCCTGGTGTACCTATCACATCCCTGTTTGATACTCGACAGTCTGCACCCTCAATCCTACTTGGAATTGGATTGAGTACACGTGAATTTTGCAGCATCTGAAGCCATAAACACCTAGATCAATATTCTGTTATTTGTGTAAAGTCGTTTATGTATTCTGGCTTCAAACAGATTAGAATTGAAACAGCTCCTCAAATCTCTGAAGGGATCAACATATTCACGCTTTTTCGAGACACGTATTGTCGAGTCCTGGATTGTCATCTAACACAGACTAGACGTAAAAGGCTAATCCAACATATTTGTATTTCAATCGAGAATTTTGGGAGACCATATATTATCAATAATTTAGTTTAAATACTCTCGATGAACAGGAGGAGAGCTTTCGATGAAACTATCAGCGTGCAAACTGACTGAATGTAGAAACACCTTCTACTTCTTAAGAGTAATCAAATGCTAGAATTCGCTGCTGTCCAAGCTAGTTAAAGCGACTTCCCAGTAGTCATTTAGGGGAAAACGTGACATGTTCTAAAAGACTAAGAATAGTACCTTGCTATGACTTACCAACTTTTATTTCTTTTTCCTCTTTCGTCGATAGTATACCTAGGTTTCTGTCTGGAGGTAGTGGTGTTCCACTGTTACTAGATACGGAAGCCCATTATGCGAAAGCCTCTTCTACTTCATCCAAAACCATTTGAACCATTTGAACCATTTTAACGGAAATTGGATAGTGAATAAACTTAGCGGTGGTTCCGAAAACAGTTGTTTTAATTTCATGCTCCGTCCCTTGCTTTAAGGAAATACATTCTAACTGTGTTCTCATTTGTCGCCGCACTTCACCCCTTGCTTTTTTTCTCCTCCAGATACCCGCTACACATCGTATCGCCGGTCTTGGCGTAAATTAATCGAACACTGAACGTTACGGAAATTTAAATTGATGCCTAAGTTTATATCTGAAGTAGATGTGGAAGCTAGAAAAAAGATACAGGAGGCTGAGGGTATAGTTGAAGCCCCTTATGATGCCAGGTCTCTCTATGAAAGGTTGCAAGTGAGTCTTTTTCAGCGGTCTTATACTTTTGACAATCTAGCTTTTTTTGCGCAACATCGCCTTCATCTTTCTAATTTTATCCGGTTCTCTCAGCATGTCAGCATTTTGTGGTTAGTAGACGTTCTCCTCCTGAATGAACACTAGGTTTGTGTACCAAGTCTTACTATCAAGGATTAGAAGTTATCTCCTTTTGTCCAGATGTACCTTATATTGTTGACATACGACAGATAGTATAGCTTTCTTTAATTTCGCCAACTTGTTCCTGGGTTTGTTCCGCACCAGAGCTTTATAGCAGGTGCGTGCTTATTTTTCCTGCCAGTTATTTCCGTTTGCATATTTAAATCACTCACATCTAGTAATATACATTCATTCTGTAAATGTTTTTAGTTTCCAGGTTTGAAAATTCTCATTCTGATGTCAAGGTACTCACTCATCAAAGTCACTTTCTCTTTCACTTAGGAGACAGTGGCCACATGCTTGAACCTTCGTGATTTCTAAGCGAGTCTGTTTTTACAGTCAAAAGGTCGTATTTCAACAATATTTTAAATTGCACAATATTTCTAAACTATCCGCTGCCATATTCATGTGATAAGTCCGAACGCGATTAGTTACAACTCCATGCTTTTCCGCTACGAAAGTCGATTAGTTGTTGAGATTTAAATTAATTAGTGTTCCTTCAGTTAAGGTCTGACTGTAGTGATTGGGAGCACCTTCATCTTGGAAGGCTTGGTACTATTTGGTCTCATGTTAACCATTAACTCAACTTTAGACAAATAAGATTAATTGAATAGGAGCCTTACCCCAAGTAAACATCAAACAACTGAAAACTAATCCGGTCCTGACCACTTTTGTTAATGGCAGAGGTAGTAAGAGTATAAGCCGTAATCTGAGGCATCAAGGTTTGAAGATGTGATTTAAGGAGTATAATCCAGTGAAATAAATTTGGAAAGAAAAAAGGACATGAAGAATTCAAAAGATTATGATTTGGGAGAACACAAAGAGTGGATGCACCTGCGTCATTGCAAACGATTTTGAGGCATATCATTCAAGGTCTCTAACCATCGGTTGCTATCATCTCGCGGTCCCCAACCAGGTAGTCTACACCTACCAACATGGCTCAGTCCACCTGTCAGTGACTTCATGGATTTGTGCCATGTTTTGGTCTGACCGCCCTTAACTTTCTTCCAACCTACTCCTACACCATGAAACATTGCACGTCGGGGCAGTCGGTGGTCTGACATGCGTAACACATGTCCCAGCCATCTCAACTGATTAAGTTTCACTACTTCATCAATTGATTTCCTATCCTTACCTCATACCCGTTTCCTAACAACTGAGTTACTTACTCGGTGGTCCCAGGATATACGAGCGATGTTTCAAAGACACCTATGATCGAATACCAGTAACCTACGAATATCCTCTACTCTTACTGGCCATGTTTCACTGCCATAAAGTAGGACGGAACGAACTGCTGCGCAGTAAACTCGTCCTTTGGTTGATAGACGGATATCTCGCCTACGCCATAAATGACGCAAGTTGGCAAAAGCTAGTCGAGCCTTCTGTATCCGTGCTGAGATTTCGTCACACACCAGACCACAAGGGTTGATGGGACTCCCAAGATAAGTGAAGCGGTCGACACGCTCAACTAATTCATACCTTATCATTAGTTCTGGCGTAGATGCAACCTAATCATTAAGTAGGACCCTAAGGGGTTTCCTTGCAGCGTCTTTACTACGTCCAGTAAGACGCAGACAAATATGTGCTCGTACTCGTGCATGATCTGAATCTAAGCATGTTCTCCAGAACGAGCGACGGTCTCGTACCAAGCCCCTCCATCGGTGGTTGATAGCGATGTGATCCATTTGGGTCCAACGTTGGGACGAGTTCGGAGGTTGCTATGTCAAAAGTTTTTCCTCATAAAGTTAGTATTTGCTAAAAACAGGCGGTTATCCGAGTATAACTGCAACAGACAGTCGCCATTATCTGGTCTTTGAGCCACGACACTATAAGATCCACCCAGGCGTCTTTCCTTTTCGCTTAGTTTACGTACTTGAGCATTAAAGTCACCAGCCACTATTACTATATCAGAGCGCCTAACGTTTTGGAAAAGGTTGGTAAGCTTTCTGCAAAACTCATCTTTCACATCATCTTGGCTGCAGTCAGTGGGAGAGTAGGCAGAGACGACGAAGAGGCAACGACGAGTGTCCCTATCTTTCCGAGTCCTTACTGTTCCGTTTAGTCGGACAGCGCACAAACGACTCTACTGGGATCCAGTCTAAGAGAGCTAGTTCTGCCCTAGGACTCAATGCTATACCTACACCAGCGAGACCATGGAAAGCAACATCAGGGCTTCCAGATACACGAAGCGTGAATCAAGACGGTTTATCGTTTTGACATGTGGAAGTCAAATGAATGACACTACTCGGATCCTGTATGCGCGTTTCGGAGACACAGCACACATCGATGGAGCGAGATTCTAAAGTCCTAGCTAAGGAAATAAGAGAGTCATTAGGAATGTGTGGGAAGGATCTGATCGTGAACAACTTGGTCTCGTGTTGATGTTACTTCCCGGCTGCCCACATAGTGGAAGAGTATTTCTTGAGTAACCTGAAGAGGAAGTTGGATTAGTGTTGGTCTTAACGAGCTGGGAGCATGACCACAGAGCACAAAGGACAACTGCCTGAGGCTGGTCGCGCATGGCCTTTTTGTGGGAAGTTCTTAACGTGTTAGCTCGGTTCTTCAAAAAACCTTACTGCCGGAGACGGAAATACTTGAGGTAAGGTGAGGTGTGACATTTTTAGGGTTCGCCTTTTCCAACCCCTTTCTTCGTTGTGAGAAGGCAGCATTTCTGCAGATGCTGGTTGTCCGTGGGAATCACCTCACTGCTGTCACAACCCTCTATAGTTAGCAGTACGATTTCGCCCTCAGACCTTAAGTTGCCGCTTTTAGTCTTACCATCTTCCAGTCGACCTGTCTGGCATGGTAGAACCTACAGGAACTTATGTTCCAGCCAATATAGCTCTGTTGAGTCATCACGATAGGCGAACCCGACTACCGCTACGGTCGGGAGATATTCTAAACTGCATAGAACGTATATGTTTTATTCGATTTGTGTGGTATACCCTAATTTATGTAATCACGCTTTGTTATCTAATGTTTTACTACGTTTTCAAAATAATTGTAGGCCGAGAAAGATAGAAAACAGGAAGAGTATGAAGCCACTAATGCTCTAAAAAATCGAATCCATCGTTTGGATGAAGATGAAGTTGAATACCTCCAAACACTTGCTACCAAACAGTACAAAGCTGATTTGGAGAAAGAAAAGGAAGTAGCTGAGTTGGTTAGAGAGGCAACTATATCCTTTTTGTTTCAAGTTCTTTGTTCTTTGGGTTTTTTCACTATTTCCTTAACTCATAGTTATACGTTCAGGCAAACAGATCGGGTCATATTCCCACCACAAGCGTTACAATTGATCCTAGTTCAAAAGCATTTTATAATAAAGGAGGATCAAGCCAACGTGCTCTTCTTGCTAATGCTGTTAAACGCAATTCGTAAGCATATTATCATTTAATACTTTTAACTGTAGTGGCAGCTTGGATATGTCAGGTCCACAATCAAAGCGGTCAAATATAAGAACAACCTGTAAGTCTTCCGATATTTTTAGAGAGCAGCTGATTCCAATTTAATTATCCTACTTATACGTAGTAATGCTTTAGAAATTCATACAAAACTGTGCTGCAACTGAGTGTTTATAATCCTAACGTTATTTCACCATGGTTGGGCGCAAATAAGTCATACTCAACGCAGGACCTGACATATATGTTCATTGGGTTAAGTCACCACATTACATTAACACTGTGTAGTATAGGTCCCAACAGTATTAGTAGTAAAAAAGATCAGACATGGAATATATAATTCGAGAAAATATGTATTCGTGCAATACATAAATGATCGAGAAACTCAGGATCTAACAGGAGATTGAATGCACCTGCGCCATTACAGACGATGTTGAGTCAGGCCACCTAAAGTTTCTAACCATTAACTACATTAATCGCGCGGACTCGACTAAGTAATCTGTACCTGCCTACACAGTACAACCTAACAGCCAATTACTTCATGTATTTATAATACATTTCGGCTATATCTCATGTAGCTTTCTTTCATCGCATCTCCACCGGCAAACATCACTTGTCGAGGTAGACGGTGGTTAAACATTCCTATCACATATTCCAACCACCTTAGTCGATGAAGATTCAACACCTCACTGTTATGACTTTCTTTTATTACGACCCAGCTGCTCTTATTGCTTAGTGTTCTTGGACACTACTTCACTCGAAAAGTCCCCGAATCAAAGCACGGTTCAACAGGAACGTAACTATATTTCATATAACAAGGTTGAATGAAAGCAGAAATCACAACAAAAAACGTTTGTACACTTAGAATTTTTACACAAGATTCTAGAGTTTTCTTCAGATATCCGCTAGCGCCGATTGGTTACGAAGTAGCTAATTAGCGTGCCCCAACACAATTCTGCGCGGAATATGCTCTGATCCTATCTATATCCCTCTAACACTCATCAATCGATTTTTCATGCTTACCTGGCACTCTACTTCTCCGAAAATCTATTCATCCGGTAGCTGTTACCTAAATCCATTGATGGCTTTTTGGTTTAGGTCGGTCATAAATAGCACTGCTGTTTTCGCGATTGTAAGGATGTCATGTCAACCTACATCGGGGTAGGTATCTCTTTAATCGTTTATCTACTTGTTCCTGAAATATACTCTTAACTTTTTCATCGTAAAGCTGAACTCTGACAGATCTTATGCTGCGTTTAGTATGACGCAAACAAATGTGTCCTCGCATTGAAGAATGTTCAGAGAGGATTGAGTGTATATATCGACAAAAATGTCAGAATAAATTTAATTATTTCGCTTAACTAATTACCAAGTGCAAGTGTGGATACTCTGAGAGAGGTTTTACGTTATTCTAATGTTCCTTTAATGTTCAGAAGTTTATTTTTCGTGCGTTTATATCCAGCTTCTAGTGAAATGTGTCCTGGGCAACATGAAAATACGGTAAAGACAAAAACAGATGATCCGATTGTTTCTAAATTACTGAATGGTTCTGTCATGCAACCTGTCGCTGTGCTGCCTGGATTAAGTGAATATTCAACCTCAGATTCTGACCAGTCAACAGATTCGGATGATGACGAATCAACTGATGTTGAGGATGCTGTTTGTACATTACAGCAAATAGCCTGTACACGAATACGATATGCTAAAACTGATGGTACCGTGGATAATGACTAAAATGTGCCCAAGCCATGCTTTCCGATGTACAGTATAACTCAAAATGTGTGATTAAATTGTATATTTATCTCTTTAAATTTCCTTCATTGCTTCAGTCGTAATAACCCCTTATCTTTGTCGTCTTCTACTATTTGTCTGTCTGGTGATCAATATTGATAATCTGTTTAAATATGTTAACGTTAAAGTGACGTAACTAAGTACAGATCCCTAGACTCAAGAGATATTTTTAATTTAAGCGCTAGTAATACTACTCGATTTTTCATGGGGAAATATAGCAATTTCCTTTAAACTTGGAACTAAATAAAAGGAAGTAGGCTGCTTTAACCATCCCTCATATGTTAATAACCAGTACATGGCAATAATTTTGTGCATGTAGTTGCTATTGGTGGCAATAGCATTTGATTTCCAGACATATAATTAACGTTAACATGTAGAATACATGGTAATAATTTTAAATTTTTGTAGGATTTAATTTGTCCTACCAGAACTGTATACATGATACTGACGACTCTGAGTCTATGTGGAATTTATAGTCAGAACAAGGACAACGTAACTTTAAACTCCATCTGTTTCGAACAGTATTGTCTGTCCTGTCGAAATAAATAAGAAAAAGAGTTGCAGTCACACTAATAGGATAATAATGTCTTTCAATTAGCAGGTCACATGCAACAGGGATAGTCCACAGTCACGACAGGCAAGGTTAACGTGGTGGGTGTTTAAGCAGCGATTTGATTGGTTAGTTGCGGGTATAACTAACAATTTTACCAATGTATGTTAAAAAATTCAGATCCTAAATTATAATTAATGTATCTAAACTAAACTGAAAACCTATGGAATTATCGTTTTCTTCGAATAATTAGTAAGACTGTACAATAACAAATATTGTATTTCGTTCTTTTAGGAAGGTGAAATTTAACGTACATCCCTATGATGTTATCAGTTTTCCTTTTCTAAACACTTCAGTATGTTTGAGCTCTAACGCCACTAAAATAACTGCTAAGTCACACCAGCAATTTGAACTACCCCTGCCGGAGTGTAGATTTCAAAAGTCGAGTCGGAGTAAGCTAAGTACCACCTGGCTTTTAGTTTGTGTTGTGGTCAAACTCATTCTCTTTAAATGGGCGAAATGTAGATATCACATGGATTAAAATAACCGTTATATCGTAAATTCTACAGTGTTTAAATTACTAGCTTTTTGATACAGGTTATAATCGAGTGGTTTCGTGACATCGGTACGATTTACACAAAGTCAAGATGTTAGAATCCACCCATATCTCCGATCTAAAGATATAGATATGGTTAAGATGAGATGATCCATTACGGAGTTTCTAATAAATATTATGGGGAAGTAGTATGTTGCTAATGCCATCATTCCCACTGTATCACTTGAGTAAGAACTGTTACAAACAGTATAAGAAAGTGAGGTTAATTTATTAAGGACTTTAATGAGTAACAGATATAGCGACAGTGAGGAAGCAGCCATGTAATCCTTGAACGGGAAATCTGAGTAAATTAGAATTTTTCACCAATTACTGCTGACTATTCGTAATCATCGCAACATTCCTAAAATAAGCAAGGGCTCGCAACGAATATTATCCAGTGATATGCACTTACAAATGATAGCAAACCTGAGAGCGTGACCGCAGTGCCCAAGAGACAGCTGTTTGAGGTCGGTCACACACGACCTTTTTATGAGTAATTTTTGTGTTAGCTCCGTACTTGTTGAGACCTTACCGTCGGAGACGGATATCCGTGGGATAAGGCGAGGTGTGCATTTTTAGGGTCGACCTTTTCTAACCCCACCCCTCCTTGTGGGAAGGCAGCATCGCTGTCATGCTGGTTGTCTGAAGGAAACGCCTTACTGCTGTCACACCTCTGTACAGTCAGCAGTACGACTTCACCTTCGGACCTTGAATTTGTTGCTTTTAGTCTTACCGCTCTTCAGCCGACCTGTCTGGCATGGTAGAACTTTGAGGAACGGTTGTTCCAGCTAGTATAGCTCAGTTGCTTCATCACGATAGGCAAGCCTGACCACCACCTCCAGGTAACAACAACGGTCGGGGTAGGATATTGTAGTGGCTAATTTCCTCTATATCTGACTCCGATGAATAGTATCCCGTTAACGGGGCATTTACGCACGTTCAATCTTCTAATAGTATCATAAATTTGCCCGGGATTATTCAAAAGGCCTAGCACCAGTTGTAAAGACAGTTTACTGTTAATGAGTAACAAAAATCCACAAGCACACAGAGAAAAGAGTGAGTGGGCTTGTGTTGAAAATCGATGTATATTTATGAGTGTTAATTGGTTGTGGATAAATTGTTGGAGAAAGCTGGTGGGTGGTCTATGCTTCTTCACGATGACCGAATCCAGTTTATCTAAATATTTTGTGTCTATTTTGCCTGCTTTAAATACAGTTCATCCATATTCTGAAGTTCTTTTTTTTCACGCACCTAGAATTTCTACACTTAATTGTCAAATGTCATACTAGAGTATAATTCTGTTCTTGGAAGAATATATTAACAATATTGTAATGTAGGTCAGTTATTTATTAACACTTAGACTTCTTCGAGCACTACTACTGTAAGCCTTCATGCCTTTTTCTCACATGAAAAGATTACTCCCTAAACTACCTTCCGAAGCATATCTTTACTAGGTGTTAATTATGATCACTAGTTCTAGATTAGTAATTTTAATATAAGAAGAGTAATAAAGGGAAGTTTTTGTGAAAAAATTGGATTCAGTCATCTGAACGTAAAGTATTGATCTTCTCTGACATTCCTGTTAGTTTATAGAAATGATGATTTACTTTAACAGAGACACTACCGAAGAAGTGGAGATGTGTTCAGTTTATGGCGTGTCGTCTTAGTATGAAGGCTGTATGATAATTATGAGTATTTGAATTATAGTACTAACTGAGAATCTCAAAAATAACGCAATTGAATGAAGAAGCACTAACGAATGTACTGTACTTGAAATTCGAAATCAAACATTCAACAAGTACAAAGGAATCATCAGTTCATTCAAACACCACAGGCTGGCATCTATCGACGTCCTCGAGATAATACCTAAAAAGGTTTCATACTAGTGGTAACTCCCAGATGTTGAAACACTTGTCTAACAAGAATGTGAAGGAACTACTAACGGATGATACCAACTGCTACATGACAGTTTATAATTTATCCTCAATCTTCAAAATATCGGCAGTCATGGCTAGATAAATCATGCAGTCACTTAGGTCTTCGTTTACAGATTCGTTTAATATGATATCGTTTATGCTAAATTCCACAGCGGATTATGCTTTATACTAGTATCATTTCACAGTATATGATGTAGAGGTACTTTAAAGGTTAGATATATACGAATAGACCCACGCGATATCCGACATTATTCAAATCTACTCTCAAACAGTCAATATGGATAGTAATTAGGATATCAAAATTATTCATTGGGATAGATTTTCCGTAATCTTCCTATCAATATATTAGTTACTATACTAACAAAATTTAAAAGAGTAAATGAGCACTGACAATATTGTATGTGAAGATGCCACAGGTATTCGGAGTTTGACAACGCTTCAACCAGTAACACTTTCTATTATGAAGCGTAACCACCAAGTGAAATCAGAAGACAGAAGCGAGGAGATCGAAGATAACTTCGATAGGCTATCAATATATCGAGGATCGTTTGAACTAATCTGGCTAGCGATTGCAGTAGATGTTGAGCACGGCGTTCCCACACGTGATCTGGTGCGGATGCATGACCGAGCGCCTTCAGCTAGATGAGTCCATTAAAACTAATGTGGTCAGCATCCAATATCGAAAACTTACAGAGCTATTTATTTTGGGGATTTATTTACCGTTACAGATCATTTTCCCCTAGTGGGGTAGTGATGACCCTAAGACGTGGCCAGTCAGAAGTTTAAACCCAACGAGTTTTTCGTTGGTAAACACTTCTGATAGCTTGCTATGCTCAACAACGTCTGGTCGCCTTTCCTTACTATAAAGGACCATGAGCTACAATATAGTAGATAAATAAAAAGTGCGATGAAGATTTCGGTTACTCGTAAACTTCATCGTTCTTTTCCAACCATCCTGGAAAAGAAAAAAAAGTATGTAAGTGCATGTCGAAATACACTCGTACGCGCATAAAAACACAAAGCGGGCGAAAAAGAAATGCAAAATAACTTGATGCTTACGTAATAACGTGAAAAAGGGATTTTACAATGTTTTTTTTAAATAAAAGGTGAAACTATATAAGCATATTAAATTTTTTAAACAAAATTATATATAGTACTAGGGAAAATCGAGGCGATATAAAAGGCCAACTTGTATCTTACGTGCAGTAATCATTCAAATGTTCTGGAAATCTTACTCTTCTTCCAGAACGCGTTGCTTTGAGTTTAGTTTCTGATACCGAAGAAGTATCAACGTGTGTGTCGGCTGTCAGTTTCGTAGGCCGCCATCGCTAATCATGTATTGGTATTTTTATCATGCCTTAACTACGGCGTTTTAACAAACGAGGTCGAGTTCATCTCTCTCAAACCACACAAACCAATCGAGGCTTCACGACCAAAAAGGAATGCGACTCTACGTACCTCGTCTACTCAGTCACTATTCTGTTCCTCTCGTCATTCTACTAATAAGTATTTAACGATAACTCAATGCATCTGCCATAACGCAAAGGACAACGTACACTGACTTCGCATTTAATGATTGTTATCAATTGCAGTACAGCAACGAATATCACCAGTCGATGCAATTTTCATTTCATGACTTGGCTATTATTATCCTACGAGTGGGAACTCTACGTATTTCAATTCAAATCCACTCATCGCTACTCGACGCTACATACTCTACTGAGGCTCATCAGAACGTGTTCATATTTCATTATTCTGTCAGCAGCACAGACTAATTTCTGTCATATTCTACTCTACTTATTTTTACGATTTATTTCATTGTCATACCCACAAACGATTTATTACTGTATGTTTAAGATGATGTCCCTGCCATAAGTTTTAGATTTCCTGACTTCAACGTTGTGTGGTTTTGATGTTTAGAGCTCCCCTAACTGTAAGACAATAAGGCGTTGAAGCTTATACGTTTTTGATCATTCAGGCGTGTGATTCGTGATGAAAACCACCGTCATCACGAAATCAATAATAATCTTCAAAACAAATTAATAATATATTTGGAAATAAACCCACGTCGTTTATGTAATTTTTCAACAAGAGGA